GTGTCTAAATTATACTTTAAACTCACTTTTGGTTTCTAAGGATTTTTTCGATAAAAATAGATGTCTTATATTTTTTTCACTACACTTTAAGTATCTACCGTTAAAAAACCGTTAAGTGACATGTTTATATTTTTAATTTTATTTTAAAAAAACATATAAAAAAAGTTGAAACTGACATGTATCACTTAATAGTTTTTTTAACCGTTAACACCTAACAGTGTAACAGATAAAACATTAGGCACCTAAAAGTGTAATAGAGAAAATATTAGGCACCTATTTTTAACGAAAAATTCTTTAGGTTACAATGGTCAATTTGAAATACAGTTTAGGCACCTAAAGGTGTATTAAGACAATTTAGTAATATGTGAATTTGTATTGCATTTGTGTATTTTTTGTGTGTGCCAGTATTACATCTAAAATGTTTTATAATTATATATTTTATAAAAATATTAACCTATTAGTATATTTGTGTCGTGTATGATAAGAGTTTTATCCTTTGACTTTAGAAAATATATTTATAAAAATAGAGTGAATGTTACACTAAATACTAAAATCATCGACAAAATTAAATTTAATAAAATTGTTAAATATTGGCTTTTTTAATTATTAAAATGAAAAAGACAAAGGCTAAAGTACATAAATGGTCCCCAATTATAGGATATTATTTTATCGAGTCCCTTGACTATTAAAAGTTACAAAATGATCCCTCGACTATAGGGAGTTGATTTGTTGAGTCACTCAACTATTAAAAGTTATAAAATGGTCACTCGACTATTCATTATATTCCAGACTCGTACTTTTTCGTTAAAATATTAACGATCATCTGAGTTGGACCTTAACATGTTGACTAAGATATGATTGTCATTTGAGATTATGAGAACATATTTTGTCATATATCGGTCAGCATGTTAATGTATAGCTCAGTATGTCGTCAAATTTTTAATGGAAAATGTCGAGCTTAGAGCATAATGAATAGTCAAATAACTATTTCTTAACTTTCGATAGTCAACGGGCTCAATAAGGTAACTCCCTGTAGTCAGATGATCATTTTGTATTTTTAATAGTCGAGAGAGTTGATAAAGCAATATCATAAAGTAAGGGGACCATTTATGTACTTTACCTAAAATTAATTAAAAGTATAGGGAAAGTGATTTCCATGTATATGTGCATGTATGTATGATAACAAAGCATGTTGTTTCCATTTACATAGCGAGAGAACATCTTTTGTGTGACGTTGAGGGGCAAAAGTGATAAATATTTTATTGAATGAAATGGAAATAAAGCAGGGGTTTGAATAACCATGGCAAACATGATGTGCACGTGATCCTAATAAACTCACATGCACAAGCAATTAAACACATGGTAATTGGTTACATTTAGTCCTTATTACTTACATAATCTATCAAAATAGTCATAATTTTAAATTAATTCAATATATTTAATCCTCCATAGAAATGACATAAAATTGTGCTCCATTGGGGGTGGAGGGAATTGAACCTCTGCCTCTTTAGATGATATGGAACCACCTCAACCACTAGCCAAAGGCTATTTTTTGGTATAATGCTTACTTTAACTAATATTTATCTTATAATATAATGAAGGCTCGAACAATAAAAATAAAAGCAACACTAAAACTACTCAAGTCGAGGTAAACAATATATTTTAAAATATATTATTTTTCTGGGTGGGTTGAATATAATAAATATATTACTTTCGCCATTTAAGATATAATTAAAATAGAAGCAATACTAAAACGACTTGATTCAAATAAATTAATATTTTAAAATATATTGTTTATATTCAACCCGCCCCACCCATAAAATATATTGTTTACATTCGCCCCGTCTCGACTTGATTCGAATAAATTAATATTTTCAAATAGTTGAAACAATATTCTACCTTTGATCAAGTTAGAATATTTTAAATAGTTAAAATAATATTCGACCTGGATCGAATATATTATTTGAAAATATTAATTATACCAATTTTATTAACTGTCACGTCAGCACTTATGTTAACTGTTAACGGCTAGTGGCTTGGTTAAATGCATTTAAATAGTTGGGCGGTCTGATTGACAATAATTTAAAAATGGTGGTCGAAATGAAAAGAGGTTATAGTTGGATGGTCTCTGGTATAGTTTACCCAAAAGCTTTTGATCAAATAGTTATTAATCACGAAGTAACAGAATCAGCTGTGGTTAACCAACTCATAAATCCCTCTGAGCCGATTGATTTTCCAAATCCTTGTACTTCACTTGATGCAAGGGGGTGTATGGGGATATTATGATATGAGAATCTTCTTTTGTTTCTTTGTTCTAAGAAGGGTTTGAGTATGGGGATATTGTGATATGAGAATCTGGCCCCCAAATACATAAGAAGGTTTGGGGAAAATCGAACATATCCGCAACTCTTACTCGAGTTCGAGTAGCATAGGTTTGCGATGTAATATTTTAGCAGAATTCACTTGAGATCAATGGAGAGGGAGTTTTAGTTTCAACGGATAACGAATAGCGTCGAGCTTAAATTTAGTAACATACATTGCCTATGTTATGCTGTCAAGTTTGCTTCTGTGTAACTTTAGAGATAGGCAAGGACATTGCGCTGGCAGAGGTAAGATTAAGATCGTTTATAGAACGGGAAACCGAGTTTGGGAAAAGGATGGAAAAGCAGCAACCTGGTTCCTCAGATAATGGTGGTGAAGATCAAACTGATAGCATTTCTGAGAAATGGAGAGCCACATCCAGTGGAATCTGTAATTGATAGAAGTAGGTATGTACAGATAAGTAATCCTAAGATGTAGATGTGTTTGTAGTGCTATGCAACCCTTTATTTCGAGTGTGTGCTGCAGATATTTTGTTCTTCGAATTGAGGAGATCTTTTCTTACCCCCTTTCTTCAACCTGAAAGGATGTTTTTAGATGAACTGTGAGCACATGTCCCATAAGGATTATCATGTAGTTACATGCATTGTTTGTGACGAGCTGCTGGACATGCATATATTCCTTGATTATGTTCTTCCTTTCTGACGCTGTAAACCATGTAAGGTTAAATTTAAGAGAATAATAACAGAAGGAACACTTTGAAATCAATTAGAAACTCCTGTGGATCCACACCTCAATGTTTCCCTCCGAGAAGGAAAACCAAACATTGTATGGGTTTTATGCAAGGAAAGGGAACAATCCATCTTTTGTAATGAAGACGCAACTACTAAAAGTCTCTAGCGGACATTTTATCAAACAGTTGAGCTACAAAGTGAGCTGAGTCGGGCCGAATAAACCACCTGAATATTTCCCTTGCAATCAGATGCAGCGAGTAGGGTTGGCGGGCCGAATAAGCCAAGTTGAACACGTGCTGAAATCACTTATTTTATTGTTTAGGGTAAACTACATTGGTAATCACTATATTGCCCTACTTCACTTTGCTCATTTATTAGAGTTAATTTATGGCTTAATTATAAAATAAGAGTCCAAACTATAGTACTTTTCACGAATAGGTGCCTAAATTATTTTTTGATTGATCCCGGTGTCTAAAATATTTTTTGAATGATCCCGATGCTAACGTTATAAACGTTACCACTTTAGGTATTCGGGCTGTAAACACCGTTAATTCACTTCTTTAAGTGATATGTGTCACACTCTTGTAATTTTAAAATTTTTATTTAAAATTAAAAATTAAAATTATATACTTAAAAAACATAAAAAAAATAAATAGCCCAAGACTTTGAAAACCTTCATTTTGACCCCTAAACACATGTCGATCGCCGTCATTTGTCGTTAACGAAGCTCCACCCGACCTCACCTCCCCCGACGATCAATACCCCTAAGAAATCACAATCGGTCGACGATCAATTGACGCTTTGTATCCCTCGAATCTAAGATGAAAATCGTGATTTTGATTACCAATGACAATAACTACAATGGTGTATAAATAGGAGGATGACATGGAGTACGTTGTCAGTGATAATCATGGCCAGAAAGGGCGGCGACGGGGTAGAGAAATTAGGATTTTTAGGGAATTGGATTTTTATTATAATTTAAGAAAAATTATGGTTTTTTATAAATATAATAATGTTTTTTATTTTTTTTAAATAAATAAATTTCAAAATTATCAGAATGTAACACGTGTCACTTAACGAAAAAAACTAACATCAGTTACGAGCCGAGACCTAAAATAGTAATGTTTATAACATTAGACATATGTATCATTAAAAAATGATTTAGACATCTATTATGTGAAAAATGATATAGTCTAAACACATATTTTATAATTAAGTCTTAATTTATCGATAAAATTATACAATAACTTTTATTATTTTTGTCATAATTTAATCTAAATACATTTTTCTCTGTCAAAACATGACAAGTTGTCTTGTTTAGTTTAGATGTTGACTCTTTGTCGTTACTCTTAAATATCTTGAGTTCAATCTACCTTAATTTATTGGGAAAAAAACATGAGTGTATCAGTACCACGCCAACTGAACTGTTAAAAAAATAAATTATAATACAATAAGTAAATATATAATTTATGTATAACATAATGGTTAATAATAAAATTCAAATTATAAAAAATAGGATAAACTATATTGATAATCACTGAACTTTTAAGATATTTTCATTTTGGTCACCAAAATTGTATAACTTCCATTGGATTAACTTTCTTGGTATTATATTCATATTATTTTTAATGTTAAAATTGAACTGGATGCTAAATATTTGATATAATTATGACATTGCCACGTTATTGGTTGTATTAATTTTCTTTTATTTTCGTTTAAATATAAAGTTATAAAATAATCATTGATAAGATACAAATTTTTCTTCGAAATGATGACATGACATACTGTAAAGAATATATATATTGAATTTCAACGTACAACTTACTACAGCAACATATTCTAAAGAATGTCAAGCTCAAGCCAAATGACGATTGAAGTATGAATGCACTGGGGAAAAAGAACAACATTTCCTAAAGAAAATTTTCTCAAAGAGTTCTCACACAAACTTGTTTTCCCCTATAATATTTAACCGTACAACATCAAGACTGTGTTTGTGACATCTATTAATGCAGGAAACATTACCGTTTCACCGACGTTATTGGCGATGAGCAAAGTAGTAGAACCCCGAGAGCTGAAAACCAGCGGCAACACTCTGCTCGGTATCTCCTGTTAAAACCAGATTTCGATCAGACCATAACACATCGTCACAACAAATAACCGAGGTATGATGTGAGAGTAGCAATCGCGGATGGGAAAATACTAGTGGTGAATCCGGAAATACTTATAGGAATCGACTTATTTATCAAGGGATTATCAGAAAACCTACTAGGTTTCGTCGAACGGGACATTGTTTAATCTCTAAAGATGATAATCTTGATCCTCCATCTCCTCCTCAAGGATGACATACTTTGCGGCAGGATTACTTGGAGGTGACTCCTTGTGCAGCTTTAGGTACCTTAAAAAAGGGGTAAGAAAAGGCCATGTTGGTCAACTTGGCCATAGTACAAACCAAGGAAACACCGGCGCTGTATACATTCGATTTCTCAGCCACGGCGCAAAAAAGTAGATTAATTCACCACTTACTTGTACCAGTTGAATAAACCGACTCCGATCATTATCGTGAGAAGTCCGGCTCCTTTTAACCAGGTAAACTCATCATGGAAATAAAACACCGCAACCTGAATAAGTATCATAAAAAGAATTAGAAAACACACACAACTCAATCAGCTTTAGCAAGTAAAACAAGAAAATAACATTATGCATGTGAAGACTGCCACCGGATGAACTAAAGGGGGAACGGATTCAACTCCCAGCTCGAATACAAGCCAAAAAAATTAGTGAAAATTAAGTGAAACCTTGAACTAAGCAACTCCATGTCACATTCTTTCTTGTAAGGATTGTTCTAAAAATAATATTGAAAAAGCTAACCCAGAGAAAAACAGAAACTCAACCTAGTCCAAGTTGAATAGGCAAAAGTGTCTAGCACCAAACATATGCAATTCAAACCCCATAAACTTAAGACCCTGCAGAACCCAAACCCGATCCATATTTAGGTAATCGATTTTGGCTCAAGTTGAACCATGCAGATAATTTTTTTTCCATTTTCAATCACTCTCTGAAGTTACAAACTGAAATGTAAGTCTAAGGTAAGAGGGCTATATTCACCTTCGGACCTAAGTAACAGAGAGTCAAAATGCCACATGCGAACCTTAAGTAAAAAGCCAAGATTTTGCGAAAAACTATTAAACAATTCTACAAAACATATACCAATATGGTGACAGCCTCCTTCACAACTCCAGCTATTGTCACTGTCACTGCACTGGTTACAGAAACAAGGATGTACTCTGTTAAAACCTGCAAGAGAAGCAAAAAACTAAATTTCTTCAAACCACGACATATATCACAGCTGCATGAAGAGAAATGTAAAGCCTGTAATTTCAACAACGAGCGCTTCCAAAAACATTTACAAAGAAATAATCTCACCAACCTTCTGAAGGGTGAGAAAAGAAAATATTAAAAGAGAAAAGGATGCTATATTCCTACCATAAAGAATGCTAGAGTTCCACCAAAAAGCATCAACAAGGAAGTTCGAGCAAGATGCCATGAACTATTAAAATAGTTGTTATATCTGAATTCATGCCATGGATCCAAGAAGAGAGAAAGAACAGCTGTCGCAACTGCCATTATGGGTGTCACATAGCTCATGAAGGTAAGAGGGTTTTTCAAACCTGGAGAAATTAAACAGAGAAAATTAGACTAGCTTATATTTTTAAAATAATAATAATAACTTTTAGCCAAAATACTCGCAATATATCACTACATAAAAGCTAAACTTTTTTGTCATTAAAAGGAAGCTTACTAGAATAACATCATAAAAATGAAAATTAGGTTCCATATTGCCAACTCAGCATCCACTAAAATAACTACCCCTATTATAATTTATAAACTTTATATGCTCAACAAAATGATCACTAAAAAATAAACTATGACAAAACTAAACCAAACTATCAAGCAACCATAGATCAAATTCAGTTGATGCAACCCTATCACACTTATGAGTTACCTGGAGAAAAGAATAACACTGAGAATGCACTCTACTCTCTAGATTGAAAATATATGATGGTAATACCATGCAAACATACTGATCCAGAAACATAGAAAAAGCATGTAAATTACATCAAGATAATAAACCAGAAACAGGAACAAAAACAAATTAACTTAAGCAAAGAGGAGGGTATGGAGACCCTACCATATTCTTCTTTCTTTAGATAGCATCCCAATCCAGACGGCAGTATCATTGAAAAGTAAATTTGGAGACAAATAAAACAATTAATGTATTAGTAAAACGAAATTAAAAAACAATTTGAAAACTTGATAAAATAACTGAACTCTAATGTTTCATGCAAATAACAAATGAATCAAAGCTATACCTGCAAAAGTATTTGAGTCATACACCAGCGAAATCCAGACATGACAGCAGCAAGCATGACAAAGACAAAACCCCAAAAATCAAATTCTGTCTCCCTTGCAACTGGAATAAAAGAAGATCAAGTTTTGCAGGTGTTATAAATATTTGTAAAAGCTTGAGAGATAGATAGACAGGCAACAGAAGCACAAAGGCTGTCACAAGCTTCACAAATATTACACTGTAGAATGTATAGTCCGTGAGATTGATTTGGATGATTAGGGAATAGGGAGAGGCAGATAGATTTAAGATTGGAAAGAGCTTGTAATATTGCAATACAATGACAGCAATGTGATGAGCACTAAAATGACCAATAAGAATATCAATAAAAAAGATTTTTATAAATTACATATTCATGTCTAATTTTATAAGGCATTTGAAACAACCAAAGATAACAAGTCAATATTACCAGATAAATGATTTTCTTGAAAAATACAATCTTTTGCTAAAAAAATAAAAATATGTCACAATTACACAATAAAAGTAAACAATCGTTTGTTTTATGAAACATAGCTTCCAGAAAATTATTTCTATATTTTCTACTGTCATTTCACGGAAAATAACCTGGTCAATGAAAAATAAACATCAGTTCAACAGAAATTTAACCAAATTTCAGAAACTGTCTTACGTTATGAACTAAGACAATTACCAAAGCAAATTACAGAATTGACGAGAATCTTATACCTGTTAATAGAACCCCAACAGAGATTACCATCATGATACCAAAAAGTTTAAAGCTTGGGGACTCCAACCTTTCAAAATCAACCGTCAACATTAATATAAATGTATAAAAGAGAGCTTAAACAACCATATTACTAATAACTGTAAATTTTTTTAGCAGTAAGCACAAAAAACTTGAAATTTTCAGAGTTATACATGGTTTCAAGTTACTAATAAGCATACCAAATCCCTACATTTACAAAAGCTAGCTTCATTCCTACATTTGAAGACTATCTAAACAGTTCAGCATCATCCAAACATTAACGGACATGAAAATTTTAAAACTCACCTGAGTGCAAAAGCAAATATGAGAAGAAATATTGGAGCTGCAGATTTACACTGCAGGGTATATCCGTATATGGGAAGAAAATTTTAGTCAACAACACAAACAAGAAAAGAAATATCCAAAAGCAGATTCAGAGTATGAATGCTAATTTGTTCAGGATGAGACTAAATATTCATCACAAGATACAGAAGAGTTAACATACCATTGTGGCAAAAGTAACAGATATGAAAACCAGGGATGCATTGCTCAGGTTAACGTCCAGTGCAGTTGAAAGAGCCGTTGGTACAACTGTGAAAGGCAAAGTCTATCTGTAAATTAGTTCATACAAAAGTTAATTAAAAGAGAAATGCAGTTAGAAGAACAGGAAGGCACTTTGAAACCCTAAATCTAAGTGCAATGATGCACCTAGCTAATGATGCAGTCTTGAAAATAAATTACAAAATGTTACACAACGGACCATACGCAAGCACCATATTCACAATATAAAGAAGCAGAGAAAAGAACATTGTTTGATGAACTGACCCCTGTAAAAGTAATCCCTATATGACATTGGAACAGAGGGCTGAAATCTATGAGACCAATACCACGTTATCGCCTTCGATAATAAAGCTTGCAATGTGAAGTGGATAGTATTCATCAACAAGGGAGCAGGAAACTTCCCCAATTCATCTCCCAACAAGGTTTTGTTGTACCTACTCACAGCAAATTGTAAGAGTATAAAAGAACAAGCTTAAAAAATATGGCCTTAAATATAGCTAAAAATACTACAGCAATTAATTGACTCTGGACTTACAAGGTCAAAAATGTGCTGAAAGTGTACCACACAAGTATAAAGAACAATGTCTTCAACACATCCGCTGTAGAAACACTGTTGCTAGATGCTTTCGGACTGACAATAGAACTAGCTCCATCAACACCAATATTTGCTGATATATCCCCAACACACTCATTTTCAACATCGAAAGGTGTATATTTCCCGTTTCTATCTTTCCCGTTTAGATCTTCCATGGTACTTCCACCATTCAAGTGCATACGATGCTCTGGAAATTCACTGTATCTAATCCCTTCAACAAACCGGTTTTCTAACTCACTCTGATTAAGCATAGGCAACTCAAAATCAGAACCTTCTATGCTAGAAGCAGTATTCTCAGAACGGCCTTCCAAATGAATTGTCCCATCTTTATCAGCCCAGCGAGAGAAGGATGGCTCCCTGCGAAGACCTGAACCTTGATTTGCCCTATGAGTATCAGTTATCTCAATGTATTCAACTGTTTCTTTATTAAAGTTACTCTCTACCATCTCCTTTCTTACTCTAAGTTAATGCCATCTATGCACAGCATTGGAACACGACTATTATCATTTTGCTCGGGTTTATCAATCAAAGCTAGTATACAAACAAATATCCCGGGCATCAAATGAACTGAGAATCAGCCACTCAATGCTTATGTTAGATCAACCAAAATCCCATATATCACCTATGTAATCAAATATAACAACAAAACTTGTCAAAATTTGAGTACAAAACAGCCTCATCTAAAGATGTCAATAAAATATTAAGTTATGGAACTTTCAATTCCCTCTATCGACTCATTAGAACATATAAACCCCAAAATAGGACCAAATAAACAGAGAATAGCAGCCGGTAACTGGAAAACATGTAATACAGATAAATAAATTTCTTTTTTTTTCAATTAAAGAAAGAAGCAAGCTAAATCAAACAATGAAGAAGCTTCTATGAAATTCAAAAAAGAAAGAAAAATATGCAAAAAAAAGGGAAAAGACATTGAAGTGACCTGGTCAAGTTCCGACGAGATCCATAACAGCGAAGAAGAAGACTGAGAGGATCTGAAACAAAGAGAGGATCTTCAATATATATAACTATAATTATATATATATATAACAACATGAACCATTTGAGATCAGATCTGGTAATGGTTGAAGATGAAATAATATCAATCTTGGTTTGAGGGTCGTTATCTACTTTCTGCTTCCGCTGCTCTTTATAAATCAAAATCGTACATTCAATCGTAAAATTCAAACTACCAAAAAGAAATCATAAAAAATTCAAAATAACATATTAAGATTTTATTCAATATGTAGTTTAAAATGATTTTGATCCTATATAAGTATGTATAAGGTTAGTTGGTAGAGCACAAGGGTTTTAATTTTGTGGTCGTAGTATCGAGTCCCACTGAGGGCAATTCATAACGGAGATCTTCCATGGAAGTTGCTCTTAATCTGTCGTTGGGGCAACCTATTACCCTACCTACTCTTTATCCATTACATATGGGAATAGGGTTAGCTAATAAGTATGTATAGGGCAACTAAAGGGATTGATGCAAGTAGTAAGCAACTTGATATCGTTTATGTAAGGTCTCAAGTTCGACTCTTTGTGTATACAAAAAATATTTGTTGGAAGACTCACCTATTAAAATAAGTCAGTTGTGTGACCTAAATTGATCTAAATTAATCAGGACAAAACCTTGAAACCTAAGAGTAACAAAAAAAAAACATATGTATAGGTAACGTGTATGTTTAGTCACTAAAATATATGATAAGTTTTATTTAAATTATTGAACTAAAAATAAATTCAATCATATCACGTAATTATTTAAATAGTTTCAAAATAATTTCACCTATTTAAAAATAATGTATTTTTTTATTAAACATGATTTAATTAATATTATTTAAATAATTAAATAATCTTAATAAAGTTATTTTTTTCAATTGTTTGATTTTCTGTCTAGATTCATTTATGATCTTAAGTAATTAATTTTATATTAATAACAAAATATATTTTAATTAAATATTTAATTTATACTCATGATCATATTATAATATTAATAAGATATTAAAAATATTTAGTAACTTTAAAAAGACAAAAAGAATACTTGAGATATTTTAAAGTCGTCAGGTGTTTTTTTAGTCTTTATACTAATATTGTAACAAGAGTCTATTTTAAATGAATTCTTATTATCCTATGTAATTTATTTTTTTCAACTTCATTATTTGAGCAAATTTATCATAAACCATTATATATAAAATAAATATCTAATTACGCCAAAAAAAAGAAGGTAATTTTATAAAAAAAACAAAAAAAAATTGTATATCCATTCCTGAAAATTTATCAAACTAACACCCTTTATTAAATTGAGATAAGAAGGTGTATTTCCTGTAATATGCCTTGTCTATGTAGTAAGAAGGCGCATTTTATAGGATGCGCTTTCTCTGAGTTCGGTTGGCCTTGAAGATGCATTTTACAGGAAGTACCTTCTCTGAGTTCGGTTGATTTGGTAATACACCTAGCAAGCACATTTTATAAGCAGAACCCTCCCTAAAAATATATTTAACAAATAAAATTATAAGGACCAACATTGTAATTTAATACATATTATGTCCATGTATTCATGTTATGTTTGTTAACGATATGAGATAAAAGCTAAAACAAATATTATTTGTTATATTATCTTTATATCTAGCGAATCCAATTATATATTATTGTTAAATTCCATTAGTTTAATATAAACCTTAATAATAAATATTAACCCAATGAATACAAACCTTAATAATATTTATTAACCTAATAAAATTTAACAATAATGTATAAGTAGATTCATTAGATATAGAGATACTATTAAGAGGTTAAAAAAATACCCATTTTAACTTTTATCCCATATTATTAACAAATATAACATGAATACTTCAATGTGCATATAAAATAATAATATTAAACTCTTAAACTCACAAGATTATATGATATGTAGTAAATTACACTATCAATCCCTATAATTTTATTTTTTAATATATTTTTAGAAAAACTCTTCTTATGAAACACGCTTCTTGCGTGTACTGTTAAATCAGTCAAACTTAGAAACGACGTCCTGTGAAATACATCTTCTTTCCACATAGACAAATGGCGTTGCAGAAAACACACCTTCTTGCCTTGGTTTCACAAATGGTGTTAGTTTGATAAATTTTCGGAAATGAGCGTCAATATGAAATTTTTTAAAAAATGGGTGATTTCTTAATAAAATCGTAAAAAAAAATAGCTCCGTCGGAACAAAATTAATTTCCAACACGAACATATTCGGACAAGGCTGAAACTTTTAGAATAAAGTTCAATCATCCAGAGCAGATGCCATAATTTTAAGCAAGGAAAAAAAGAATCTGCATATAACAATAAGGGAAACAAAAATATGTGGAGCAGATCATAGAAGCCGATCGATTCGAAGAAAGAGTTTTTAGATTCAGATATGAAACAGATGAAGAGAAAATAATTCAAATCCGAAAACACGATTTGGGGATGGGAACTGCTGATTTCAATTTATAATTCTCTGTAAACCCTAAAACTCGCCTCCATCTAACAACGGCTGATTTCAAGACCAAAAAACAAAGGCTTTTTAAGGACTCGTAACGGGCTTCAGTCCAGTAACTGACCCAAAGATCGAAGATCATGTTTCATATATATATATATATATATATTATTTGCCTTTTTTTTTAATTTCATAATATTATATATTTCTTTGGAGATAATTGTTCAAGATGTATTTTAAATTTATATTTAAAATTTTAAAATATTTATATGAATTTATAAATTATGAATTTATTCAAAATTAATCTTTAAATTTCAGTATATTTATATCAATTCTCAAACTATTAATATCCTCTCGCTAATTTGACATTAATTTATTGATTAGAATATTTTAACATATTTTTAAATGTCTTAAGAATTAAATTTGTGACCTTTAAAAATATTTATAAAATTTTTAAAAATAAATTAAATTTACACATTTTGAAGACTACAGGTTCAATTCTCAATACATTTAAAAATAAATTAATTTTCTTAGAAAGTTATATGTTTAATTCTCCAGACCTTGAAAAAATAAAATTACTTTTAAAAGGTTACAAATTTAATACTCATGACTTTAAAACTCGTTAAAGTTAATATCACGTTTATGGAATGATCAAAATATAATCGTATCAATAATTTGAGAATTAAATATAGAGTGCTTCAAAATTTAAGACTCGATTTAAAATAAGATCATAATTTAAATAATGATATGAAATCTTAATATTTAAAATTATCTTTAATTATCGTACTAATAAGAATATGATAAAGTTTAAAATTTATCTTTGACAACTCAAAATCAATAAATTTTATCATGATATTTTTATATCTCACATTATTTATATGTATAATTTTTAAAATGTTTAATTATAATCCTATAAACATACACTTATTTAGTAATTGAAGACAATAATTATGCACACACGCCGTAATAATCGTCCGATTGATTCATGTAAATGCATGCCTTAAACACATATTGCATATAATATTTATTTATTTTTAAATAAATACAGTTATCTCATTTACATATTATGTAACCTATTTCACATAAATATTAAGAGCATAATACCAAATTACACCAAATATAGTGCTGATAAAAAATTCTAGCCGCTTTATTCCTCATTTTCTCTTTTTTTTTTCTTTATAATTTATGTCAATTTTATTGATCAATCCAACTTTTTATTCTTTAATTTTGTTTCACCGGTGGTGGCACCAGTTTTGATTCTGGTTGTCGCCCGTCGGTTATATTTTTTTTAATTTTTTAATTTTTTTAATAAGAATAATTATGTCTTTGAGGCATGTTTTCTGCCTTTATGGCACGTTTATATATACCTTTTGTGACACATTTTTCTCTGCCTTTTGGTAACTTATGATTTTTTGTTGTTATTTTCATTTATCTTTTTTCACAATGTTAGATTTGACAACGTCACGATTAATCAAGATATCGCTTATTTGTTACCATGATGATCTTCCCTGCTTTGGACCCTCAAATTGATTTGGAAACGCGTTTTGCGCTAGTGGATAGTTTTCTCACATCGCTTGACTCTAATTTACGATTTATCGATGATCTTTCAGTAGTTTCATCCCCTTTTATGATTCGTTTATCGATGCAGTCAGATTTGTTCGTATCTTTATTTTATTCGAGCATTTGTTAGGTTTTTTAACATTTTCATTTTATAGTCCTTGTGTGATCTAGGTGGTTAGTTTTTGTATTAACAATTATAAGAAAATGTACTAATTATAATTTAATTTACATTTACGTTTATGCTTGTAAAATTTTATTGTAATTCTGAATATTTTCCATTTTTAATAAAACCATAGGCTTTCTATATATAAAAAAACATAATACCATAATATAAATTTTGAAGATATATTAAATTATTTATATTTAAAAATTTAATAAAAGAATATTTCTATTATTAGATAAACATCGTGCAAATGCTGATATGATTTTAAGCTATCTATTTATAAATCTTAGCTAGGGTTACGCTAATGGAAATCGAGGGATCTTGAATGCTTTATAATTTCACAAATCTCATCATTTTCTTTAAAATATAATAATTACCCTCAAAATAATTTCTAGTTTGAATATATAATTGCAATCCATAAACATATACATGTAGCCATGTAGGTATGATAGGGCCGATCTCATGGACGGACATAAAATTTTATATTAGAAAAGTGATCTAAAATTTTAGAGGGATGATCTTATAAAATTATAAGGAAGCAAAAATAAAGTATCAATAAAAATATAAAAAATATCTAAAATATATGATGATTGAAATTTTCAAAAGGCAACTGTCCTGCCCCGGCCCCTGCCCTTCCCCTCGATCCATCCACCGAGGATTTGTAAGTACCCTCCATGAACATGTCCATTTTACCAAAAACTATGAGTCTTCGATTAAGTTTCTCAGAAATCTGTTGGTTCCAGAGTCTTTCAAGTGAAAAAAAAAATTCTTCAGCTCATATCAAACTAATAACTAGAAATCTCCCGGCCAAGATTCTGAACAGTGAACGAGGCCAGGATAATATTACAGGTTCGACATTATTCACTCCTAGTGTCATCACTAGAAGAAGATTCGGCCAGCCTAATATCACTGGAATACTTTTTGATCCTCAACGAAATAAGAATGCTCGACATAACCCCGAGTAAAGGGAAAACGTAAGACCAAACCTTTGATTTCTGAGAGCCAGATGCTGACGCAACCGCCGCACCAGCAAGGCTACCAATGGAAGTGTTCTGCAGGATCATCGGGATACCACCAATAACAGTAGGAAGCAGAAAATCCAGTATGAACCTAACATTTGTGGCAGCTAGAGCATAATTAATGACATACGAAGGGATGGGAGAGAAACGTGCAAGAATGACAAATCTCCAACCATCACGTTCGACACCACGAGAAAGGATATGGAAGTATTTATTGCTATGGACCCAGTTCTTTGCAGAAGATGAACTTTTGAAAACCAGCCTAAACAAATTGACAATACCCAAATTGGTTATTATATGCGAAGAGAAATACCCAAAAGAACGAATAATATTATAGTTCTCAAAAGAAAAAAAGATCAATCTAGCAACAGATTCAGAATGGCAAGGAAAATGAGTAGGCACACTCCTGGAATACAAAGCTAGATTTGGTTATAAGAAACCAAGTATAAACAATGTAAACTTGGTGTACTAAGATCATACCCTTTTCCAAAAGTCTTTACTAGTATATTTTTCTCAATTCTTTCGGTGAAAAAAAACTCTTGAGCTGGTTTTAAAACCAATATTTACTCAACTTCCAAGTTTTATCAAGAATTTCAGATCAGAAAGCTCTCATAAATTAACCAGCTATGTAGGTAACTGTTACTGTCCTACATCAGTTTCATGTTATAGCTTAAAGATCAAAACAATGCTGTAAGTATGGTTAAATATGAAGACAATTGCAAAACCAAGTCAAAGGCAAAGCTCTTTATCAGGATCAAAAAAGGCTGTACCAAGTGCGGAATGCTCTTACAATAAGCAGGAACAGGGGAAAGGTTGAAATTTGATTAAAAAACATTTTTTAATTCTTTAGTGTGTGTGCGTGCGTAAATGATAAGGTTTGAACTTTTAACCTTTGGTGTTATATTACAGAGCATACATTAACTCAACTGCATAATTTATATATTTAACAACTAAATTAATTTTTATCAAACCAACCAGTCCAATCGGTCAGACGATAAATCGGAGATCAGACTGGCTGGACTCCAATCTAGATATTATTAAGCTTCGGCCAACATCTCTTAGCTCGATATTTGAATTTTATGTCTCAGGTAAATGGGAATAGAATTGATAGTTCTAATGGGATTGACATCTTAGGAGTCTATTATTAAAGATTTTCAAGTATTGTTTGTTGCTCTTATGATATTGTAATTCAATTGACCTTAGGTGCCGTGCCGCCACTAAGGAACCCTGGGCATGAAGCTAGGGAGTTTCATCACTTCTCCTCTTTTCATTACTCATTTTCTCTATTTCATCAAGAAATCCAGATCAAAATAATATGATAAAGATAACCCAAAGATGCAAAGATAAATATTTAAATTGAAACTAATGAAGATCCGATCTAAACTACGCAATGGAAAAAGGTTGACCAACTTTGATCCGTTATGTAATTGAAAACCTAATTAGATAAGGTAATGTTCTACGAAATCTAGCTTTATTCTCACCATATCTACCCAAAATCCACTGGATTAATGAGGAGAAATCAATTCATTCAACCAAGATATATATGATAAATGGTTTACGAGAAAGATAACCGATATTGAATCAGAGAAGTGCCGTTCAAGCTCAAAAGAACACAAATTGGAACAAAAAAGGAGAACAGAGATGGGTACCTGCCAATCCAGAAAGAGAGGGAAGCCCCCATAAGCTTAGCGGAAAAGACGCAGAGTACGGCGGGGAAGAACCCGAAGAGCAAAGAAGCGCCGGCCTCGAAGAAGACGGCGTAGGGCAAGCAGAGGGAAATGGAGAGGGTGTGGAGGGAAACGTAAAGAGGGATGGCCCAAATCCCTAATCGGTCCGACCATTGCTGGAAATAGTGGAGAGCGGCGTCTTTGTCCAGTCCCAATGCGCCTCCGTATTGCTTGGCTATGGCAATTACAACCACCAAAGCCCCTACTTTGATCCACCTCCCTACCTTCATTTTTTTTCCTTGCACTACAATGTGTTACTCCTACCATCATGTATAAATACCCTTATTTGTATTCTTCTCGATCCACACCGCCTGAGTTTACAATTAGTCCACCATTAAGGTGATGGAAGCGAAATTGGATGGTCCATAACCAATTTTTGTAGTACTTGTCACAAAATTATTATTTATTTCATTTTAAAATTTGATTGAATTAGACGTTTTTTTATGTATTATAATATAATTGAATTTGACAAAATGGAATGAAATTTTCAAAAGTAATTATTGGTTTAAGGATTATATTTGTCTAGACTTAATTACCATATTTATATTTATAGTTTTTTAATATCAATTTAGTGTTTGAAGTTATTTGGGACATCATCTTAACCCTCAAAGTTTGTTGTGACTAACAGAATTGTTAGTGTTCTGCGTTTATCGACACCAACAACTTCCACATCAGCTAATATTATTGATGTTGCTTGAAGATGATGCAACATTTATTAAATAATATATAATAGAATATTTACTAAATACAATAGTTAGAAAAAAAATCTAAAAAATTTGATTTAATCCATTAACTTCATTGAAATAGATAATAAAATTTTGAGAATTTTTTTATGTTTAGTAAATTTTTAAGCTTCCTCTTAATTAAAATACTCATCGGATGCCCATCAGTACCTCCAGGGTCTACCTTACCATCAATGTGCTTCAGCAGATGGTCCAACAGCCCAGTATCACCAATAAGATTCCGGCTGCCATTCTCAGAGCAGGCCGAGATATTGGATGCTCATACACAGCCCCTTCAGCCTTCATGATCTCTAACATGCTTTCCTCAGCCAGATTATACCTTCAATAAATGTACGAAATAAAAGAATTTTTTTAGCATTAACAGAAGGGGAGAAAATTAACCAGTGGGTAACCAAAGTTTTCACCTTTCAACAGACCATCTATCTATAAATTTTTAATGTTTGTTTTGCTTGCCCTTGTTAGGACCATTACTTGGGCTTTGTTTCCCACATCTTGCAGCCTTCACATCCATGAAGGTATTACAAGCACAACAGGTGCTCCATTCACATCCAATCCATCCCAAAGCTCAAGCCAAGGTTGAGGATAGGAAGAACCAAATTTATAATGTCACATAATTAACCTTGACATAACAAATGACGTGATTCCTTGACTCAAGCGACCTCTGCCCGTGGAAGCCGGCCAATTAATGCAGGCTACTATACAGTTTTATTAGTAAGTTCAAAATGCAGTGGGTGCTCTGTCCTAATTTATACGGCGACAAAAGAAGAGTCTTTAACTGAGGGGCAGTTAAAGGCAGGTGACAGATTTCTACTCGAACCAAGTAAAAAAGAAAGAAGATGAGTTTCAAGCCGTTTAAATGAAAGGTGACAGAGCGGAAATGCTTAACCGATGAGAATAATTGCAGCAGATAGAGAGCATGTTGGCGGAGATGAAGACACCAGGAATCTCAATTACTTAATCTTCATCCCTCAAAGCAATAGCTTTCTAATCGTTTCATCTTACTCAAAATCCTCAGGAATCTCTCCATTCAGAGAATAAAATATTAATTAAATAATTTATTTATAATTGATTAAATAAATGTAATTATATTATGTGATGTTAAAAATATTATATATTGATACGATATATATATTTTTTTTAATTCTTTAATCATGAAAATTTCAAATTTCACATATCAGTAATTGAAAAGAATATTGTAAATATTTAGGTAATAATATAGATTCCAAGCATAAATTTCATTGATATCTTTTTTTCCTTCAAAATTAGCTATCAAATTATGAGAAAATCATATGAACTTTCCTTTTTTTTCACATTTAATTTTATTATAGACTTTGATTTGGTCCAAATCACCTTCAAATTTTTCAATTTCGTCGTTGAATTGGAACCTTTACTTTCACTTTCACCCATGACTTTAAGTCCTTGCAATTCACCTTCAAACTTGGGATTCCTTCCAAGTCACCATCTAATTTCAAATTATTTATGGAGAGTACTTTCATACAAACGTATAATTTTAGAAGAAAAAAAAAGTAAAGCCGAAAATCCGCAATAATAAAGCAGATTCAAATATCTAAATCTGTAGTTCGAATCTCTGCAAATCCGAATCCGAATATCCACCGGCATCCCTAGTTTTGCCTGGGGTCTGTTGTATGAACAAAAGATAAACCATTTAGGCCATGGATATTGTCATCTATAGGTTACTGGCTTTGCTAATGTTCTCAAAGGCACAAACTTTTCTTCCATTCTATTAACTAAATAACTGTACTACTCAAACCCCAGGTTCGATCTTCAGCACCCAACGCATACAATCCGGGTTTTGCAGAGATCATTCGAGAGTGGATGTAAACTAATAAGCTCAATGGAATAGTAACTCTAACCTGTCGCATTGAAGTTGCATCCGAGACTTATCAGTCTGCAGTTGTTCCTTCAGGTTATAGATCAAAGCAAAGGAAACCCAAAGCATTAATGGACCTGTTGACAGTCTAGAAGAGATGCATACGATAATGCACGCACAACATCAAGCGAAAACCATAGATAAGAAATCAACTAGAGAAGATGTTCAAAGTCCCACGTTGCCGATCAAATTCTAGGTGGAATGCTAAAAGACGCTTTCAAACAGCTAAATACAAGGCACTGAATATCAGAACAGGAGAAGGCAGGAAACATGATATGAAATTCAGCTGGTCTCTTATCTTATGCATGTACAATACATATTTATGAAAATTATACTATTCGTTCGTAGCATAAGGAATTATTCGACGATGACAGTTTAGGTAGAAATGTTCATTCACATTTTACTTTGAGGAGCGAGGTACTTAGTATGACGCCCCTGTGCGATAATTTTCCCACTCTTTTTCTTCCGAATCTCAACAGTGATGACGGCAACAGTCTTCCCAACACGCAATGCCTTAGCCTCTATCTCAATTTCCTCCTGCATGAGCAACAATATGAACATTAATAAAATGTCTTTGCATATCAGTTCTTTCTGCAAATGAAAGAGAGCCTTATTTTCCTCAAGAAAGATGCATTAGAAAAGCCTCAAGTAACTTTCTGGGCTAATTCCAGCATAGAATCATAAAAAGGAGCAATATTTTTCCCACCTAAACCCTTTTTTCCCAGCCTAAAATGGAACCACATTTTTTTCTTAGCTTTGCAGTCACTTGGGGTTGTGAGCATGAGATAGCTCCCCAAAGTTCTTTTACCAGAGCCCAAGCGTGCTACTCTAAACCTCTTCAAACATATTTAACAAAACAATGTTGGATTGAGTTTTTTTCGAAAACCGAGGTCTCTGAACTTTACAAAACATTATATTTCCAACATAGTGCATCTCATACAATTTAACTCCCATTTATGCTATTTTTTACTCATGGATCACAAATTCAACTGAAACCCCTTCATCAGATACTAGATAGCTTGACAGAAAGGACAACCACCGGAAAAACTAAATATCACAAGAGCTGTAAACTTGCATAACTAAACTAAATAAATGAAAAGAGATCGTGAGTTGAAACTCCGGCAAATAAATCAAGCAATCTAATAAATCAATGCAAATTCCAAACCCAAAGATTTCACATTCAAATGAACTTTGAAATGAAGTACAGACCATGTATCATGCATGTTAACCATCAAATATCATCAAAGTAAGGCTATTGTAGTCAGATATCGAATGTAAGGCTATAGTAGTCAGACGAGAAATGTTGGGAAAAGGTTAAATAAACAGATGGACTTAATTATTTTGTCATTAAATGCAATTAGGGTAAATAAAATAATTTCTCATGTATTGCTAACAATTAAAATTGTGTTAAAAAAATTGAACAATATTGTACCTGTATTTCAATCTGATATATTTCGGATGCATTTTATCAACAAAAAACAAGAGAGGCGAAAGAAAATTGTTTCTTAACAGAAGGCATAGTTTTGAGAGGGCTTTACTTTATCCGAAGACTACCTATCATCTGGTAGCCAAACTGGTTCCGATTCGAGCCGGGTCAATAGGGTCCTAGCTTCTATTTTCTCTGTTCACAATACTCAAAACCAAGATTACGGTGAAGGAGCACCTACGGATGGACCGATGGGAGCCTGGCAGGGGCGGTCCCCTGGAATTTTCAAGTTCTTATATAATTTCGATATTTTCTTTGTATTTTCTATCGATAATGTGTTTTCATCCCTTAAAATTTTATAACTTTGCTTCCTGGCATAAAATCATGCCTCGTGCCTGTGAGCACCTCCTACCACTCGGTTCAATAGGCGTTGGACCCGGAGACAAATTGTAGTTAACTAAACATCCCCCAAGATCTAAAGCAGTTTTCAGGAATTAACAAGCAGTTCTAAGATTCCTATTATCAGACCTCGGAGGGCAAATGTTGAATCAGTTTCCTATATATCTTTCAAGGAAATTCAAAAGATTCGAATTAAAAGATCAAGTCAAGCAATCAGGCAAAATTAGCAAATCCGGGAGGAAATTGGACACAAAAGATGAAAAGTAGGAGAAAGTCACTAACACCAACAAAAGCAGAATCCAAGTAAGTAATACTGATTTCAACAGAAACTCCACTCGAACTGGCTCCGTAGGTGAAAACAACCGCTGATCCGACCAAATCCACCAGCGATGCAGTGGCTCCGCCGTGCAAAAAATTGCCCGCGTTCTTTTTACACGATTCAAGCATCAACCCAAAAAAATCCAGATTAGAAAAAAAACAGCAACGATCAATTAAACTACCGAATTAAGAGCCACAAAATCAAATTTGTAGCGAAGAATTGAAAATGAAAGAACAGATCATACCAGCAATCGAGGTGGGACTTTCATGGAGCAAAGAACTCGACCCTTTTCGATGTGGTCAACATGTAGACCTTGCATGATGAAGTTTTCGAAGAACCTGGAAGGCATGCCATTGATGGTGGCGGCATTCTTGTCTTCCCCTTCGCCAACTCCTTTCTCCAAGTATTTCTTCACGCTTTCCAAATCCATCGGAAATTTTGTTCAAAATGACTAAACGAATTCATCTACTTATCGTAGCTTTTACCCCAAACGCAACGTTTTTCTAGATAGTCAAAGTGGGCGGCTGCTCGGCTCTCTGTCTACGATTTTTATGCATTATTTTAATAATGTTTTTAAAAATTTAAAAATAAATAATAAATTATTTATTTAATCACTCTTTTTTTTCTCATTCTCATATTATTAATTTAATTATTTTTATTTTAAAATTATACATAATGTTATATTTTATTTTTTTCACTCGTAATTAGAAAATCAATTATAATGTTAACATGATATTTTTTGTTTTTTCAATTTTTATATCATTATATTTTAGTAATATTTATTAATTAAATGATGATACATGTCATAAAAATAAATAATTTATTTATACTAAAATATCTTAATAAACATCTGACTTTGTTTAAAGAAACCAGTGTCTCATCCCACTAGACCAACTGATTGTTTTTAAGAAAACCAAATGTTTTAAAACTATGTTTAGATGATCTTTTATCACTAAAATCTAAAAGTAATAAATTGATTATAAAATTTACCAAATTATTTTAAAATGATCGTTAAATTTATTAAACTGTTATAAAATGGTAATTAATTTTTATTGAATCGTTACAAAATAGCCATTAAATTTATCGAATTGTATAAAAATGATCATTACATTTAGTGACCTTTATGATCATAAAAAAATTGGCGTTGATCATTTGTAACAATTCGATAAATTTAATGATCATTTTATAACTTTTAAAAGTTTAATATCCAAAAATATTATTTGAGAACAGTTTAGACACCTTTGATGTATCTTACCCTTTCTTTTTTAATCGCGTTAGGGCCTTCTCGTGATGTATTTTATCCATATTTTGGGCTCTATGGGGCTGTACTATTTCTTTGACTTATTAATATATTGTTTTAGTATGACTTATTATCATACTTATTGTATGAATAAAAAATATTGGATTATTTTATTTTATTTTCATCATTAAAAACATTGAAATATTTTGCCACGATTTATTTAATATTATAATGGTTGTTGGTCTCATAGACTATATGTTAAATGGTGTCGCATCTAACAAATTCAACCAATCATTGCCACCATGAAAACAATCCTTTGGCATAAGAATTAAGCTACTTTGTGCTAGATTCAATGTTTCTCTATTATTTTCGTTTATTCATCATTTAAACATGTTGTGTTCTTTTTTTTTTTATTAAAAAAATTAAAATACGATGGTTTAAACAGTTATGTTTGTAAAGCATGTATAATATTAAATTGATAATCGAACATATATAGGTATACAGAGCTCATTTATAATGTTAAACATGATGTGTTCTTTTCTATTAAAATTTGGTGGTTTAAACAAATGTGTTTGTAAATTACGTATAATGTTAAATTTGGTTGTTGCACAACATAATCACTCTATTAATGGGCATTTAAGAGAAGCATAGCATGTGGGGATGGAATTAGACAAGTAGAGGGTTTTTAATTAGTCCACCATTAGAGACCATTCATGAGAAAGCATGCCCCGACGCAGGGTGGACGGCAATTAACTTTATGAAACCAGTTAGTCAACAACAAGTCAGCCACGTTTATCAATCTTTCAAAGTTTTGGCCCACACACCCCTATCTCATTAGTTCTTAGGGTGTGTTTGGTTCACGGAATGTAAGATTATCAGTGAAAATAAAAGATTACCAGTGAGAATAAAAGATTACCAGGGAATATGATTACTGAGAATATTGTATTTTGTGTTTTGTTGGTTTAGCATGAATGTAAGATTATCGTGTTTGGTTAAAGTCTTAAAAGATTATTAAAATGTATATTTTATCAAATTGTCCTTATTATATATTTATTTTTTATCGAGTTGGAAAATATTTATATATTTTCTTTAAAAAATTTAAACTCATAAAATTTATTTAATTTTTTTACAAAATTAAAAATATAAAAAGGTTTAATGAAAGGGTAAATTTTATTTTAACCCATGAACTTCATATAAAATTTTAAGTATAGATTTTTTTTGTAAATCTAAAATATTTGAAGGATAAATTTGTAATTTAACATTAGTAGAATTTTTATTATTCAATGACAGAATAAGGATATTTTTTAAAGAAAAAAAATTTAAGGACATTTTAGTCCAAAACACCGATAATCCAACAATACCTAAGGAAAGGGAGGTAATGACATTCCCGATAATATACCCCAAAAAATCTACTATTGGTAATGTAAGATTACTAGGATTTTTTTGTAAATCTAAAATATTTGAAGGATAAATTTGTAATTTAACCTTCGTAGATTTTTTATTATTCAATGACAGAATAAGGATATTTTTTAAAGAAAAAAAATTAAGGACATTTTAGTCCAAAACACCGGTAATCCAACAATACCTAAGGAAATGGAGGTAATGACATTCCCGGTAATATACCCCAAAAAATCCACTATTGGTAATGTAAGATTACCAGGAATGACATTATCGGACAACCAAACGAGGGAATGTGGATTTCATTCCCATGTAAATCTTACATTCCCTCAACCAAACACACATTAAGGTAAACTTTAATTCCTTATAACTTGATTTGTCTTATTTTATAAAATAAAAAAAATTAGTCTCGTTTAAGAATGAGTTGGATCAAATCAAAATTGCTGACCTCAGTTCTTAATCAATTTAAAATTTAATTTGGTTTTTATAATAAAATTTATATTCGATTTGTTCGAATTCAACACAAGTATAAATATTTAATGATTACAGAGTTTTACAAATCAAGCGATCCCGATGGTAAAAGAGTTATTACTATTGCTTGAAATATCGAATTCGAATACCATGAATACAAACCTTCAATGTTAAATAGATAAAAGTTTTCCATAAGCAAACATTATCTTATACGTTTCCCTGATTAATACAAATAAAATAATTATAAATAAATAAATAAATAGAACATAAATAATTATCATAGAAATCTCAATTATTTATCAAAATATACTTAAAATGACAATAAAATCTTATTGTGTTATTTGTATTATCCAATTTATACTCCTAACAATCCGGCGTTAGATGGAATGACTCATAGTTGCTGACTTCGTAAATAATTTCGTCTTCTACTCGTATAAATATTTTCCTCACAGCCGCTCTCGACTCTAATCTGGTGAAATCAGCACCACCGCAAAGAGAGAACAATGGCGACGGAGGATTTTAGCTTCCCCCAAATCACCAATCCTTTACCTCAATTCACGTCTTTACCATCGTTATGGCGCGCATCTTCCTTGATCTATCCCGAATTCGAAGAAGAAGAACCGGCGAGCCTCCAAAGGAAGAGCTTCTCGATCTCCCCCCCGTCGGAAAGCGAAGCGAACGAGAGATATCCGGAGAGAATGGACGTGCTGTGGGAGGAGTTCAACGACGAACTCAAGCGAGCTGGTTCGTTGCGCAGCCGGAAGGAGGTGCAGGCCGTGGTGAAGAGGACCAAAACAGGCAACGGAACAGAGCTTATTTGCATAAAGAAACAGAGTAAGAGCTTGTTGACGGTGATGAAGAGGTTGAAGATCAAGATGTTTTATATTTGCAACTTTTGGATAAAGAACTGATTTAACACCATCGCCGATGAGGGAAAGGCCGTGCTTTATTTGATGTTTCACTTGTCGAGCGGGCTCTATCTTCTTGTTTATGCAATTAAGCCCATCATCAGTGTGCTTGCACTTCGCCCTCAAAAGTAACCTTTGGTATGTACATTATAAAATTAAGGGTAAAGTATATAAATGATCACTGAACTTTTCAAATAATAGCATTTATGTCCCCCAATTTACAGTCACCAAACATTTAGTTCGTTTATAATATTGTCCCCGACGTAACGGCCGTTTCACTGTCGTTAGGGTAAATTATATAAATGGTCACTGAACTTTTTAGACTCTTGTATTTAGGTCCTCAACTTTTAAAACTTGCAACATAGTCATCAATTATATTCTAAATCCCAAATTAAAAAATGTTTCAATTACATTCTAAACCTCAAATTTCAAAAAACTTCAATTACATACCCAACCCCAAATTCATAATCCATTCTCAAAACCTACCATAATAAATTGAACTTGAAACAACAACCCTAAACCCTCAAAACATAACTCTAACTACTAATTTTCCCCACCAATTAACCCAACATAATCAACAATATTTAGTTTATTTTGGGTCCATAACAATAAGTGATTATGTTGGGTTTAGGATTTAAAAGTTAGATTTAACCAACTATAAGTGAACAATACTCAACTTGATTGGAAAAAAAAAATACTTTTTTGACTTGAATTGATTAAAAAAATTGATACAAATTGCCTTTGAGTTGTAATTTCATAAACTCAACTTAAAAAAAATTCAAGTTAAAATCGAGTAGTAAAATACAACTCGAATATCTCAAAATTTTTAGTAATTAGTGGATTAATTTTTAAGTTTGAGTCAAGTCCATTGACTCTGTATGATATATGTATATCACATATGGAAAAAATATGAAGAAATATATGTATTGTATATGGTTAAAGACTATTTAAATTATAATCAAATAATTTTGTAGTATTATAAATATTTATAATTAAATTTAAATAGAAACTCGAAAATTCAATTCAATTCGACTTGATTTAAATTTTATAAACTCAAATCAAAAAAAATTTGAGTCAACTATTTTATAAATTGAACTAAATTAGAATAAAATAATATTATAATATGATAAATATTTATAATTAAATTGAAACATAAACTCAAAAATTCAATTCAATTCGACTTTATTTAAATTTTATAAACTCAAATCGAAACAAATTCACTTATAGTTCACTTATAATTGGTTAATTTTTTTCAAAATAGTTATGTTTTGAGGGTTTAGGGTTATTGTTTCAAGTTTAGTTTGTTATTACAAATTTCCAAAATGAATTATGAATTTGGGGTTGGGTATGTAATTGAAGTATTTTAGAATTTGAGGTTTAGAATATAATTGAAGCATTTTGGATTTTGGGGTTTAGAATGTAATTGATACATGTGTTGCAAGTTTTAAAAAGTTGGGGGACCTAAATGCAAGCTCCTGAAAAGTTTAGTGATCATTTATATAATTTACCCTAACGGCAGTGAAACGACGGTTACGTAGGGGACCATATTGCAAATAAACTAAATATTTGGTGAATGTATTGATAGTTTTAAAAGTTAGGACCTAAATGCAAGTATCTAAAAAGTTCAGTGACCATTTATATACTTTACCCTAAAATTAATTTTATTGTGAGTTTTTAAAATTTAAAATTGAAATCAAAATCGAATGACATAAAAATCGTGATTTTCGGTTCGGTTTGGTTTTGCATTTGTTGACTTTTCACTATTTTTAAAACTCAACCTTACAAAACAAATTTAAAGCAAATCAGATGCATATATATAAATTTATATTTATATTTTTTTTATATTTTGTTTATTTAAATTTATCTTATAATAAATTTAAAATGAATTTATTTTTGGTTATTTTTTAATTCAGTTTAATTCATTTCAAACATGTTTCATATGAAAAAACCGAAATTAAACTTATTGTATATTTATTTTTAAAATCTGAATCAAATCGAACCTTATAGTTCAATTTGGATCGAATTTTCAATTTTTCGGTTTCGTTACCGAGCCCTAATAATGTCAACGTTAGTTTTCAATGTTTATCAAAATGATCATTATTTGTATTGTTTTGGAACATTTTAGTCTTTAATATTTTATTTTAAGTTAAAAATGATTGATGTTTGATAGAATAGTCATTTTGACAATTATTTTTTTCTTAAATATTTTGACCATAATATTTTATTTTAGAATAAAAAACTCTTATTTAAAAACGTTAACCGTTTGTTAACTAACGATTTATGTTTATATACAAACTTTTTTCCCCAAAATAAAATATCAAGGATCAAAATATTTCTAAAAAAGAATAAAAACCAAATTACTTATTTTGATAAATTTTGGGGGTTTAATTTTGACATTACGTATGAATGCAGTTACTTGTTTTGAACTTGTGTTTACATAAGTTTTTTTTTTATTAATCTAGGGTGCGTACAAAGTAATATATTTTCAAAGATAAACTCTCAACATTTCGATATTGATCGCTCACAACTATGATATATATAGTGTTCAAACCGTAGTCTTCAAGAATAAAAACAATTCATTTATCACGAAGAACACTTGATTTTTGCGTGTTTACATAAGTTAAAGCCTTGAACAATCTGTTTTTGAAACCTAACTTCTTCGATAATCGAATGAGATATTTTTAGTCCGACCAAGTCTCCAAAACAAAGAGAAGATGTTACAAATAAATAATTATTTTAATTTGATATGAAGTGGGATAGAGCAAGCATTAATCAAAACTGCTCTACTCGTCTACATCCAGCTTAAAATCAATCTTCACGTGAAGCATATTGTGCAAAATTTAAGGGTTTCACCATCATTAACGTGACGTTATTAAATGAAAAACCTCCATTTATTATTTTATTACAAAAACAATTCCTAAACAGTATTAATTGAAAAATAATTTTTAAACTATTCATGTATAACTCGTGTTATGTGAAAAAATAAGGTTAGATCGTATGTTTTACGAAAATCGAGTTTCATGCATTTATTGTGTCTTTATCTAAAAATTAAATGAAAATTATAGGAAAAGTTTATGAATCTCAAGTTTTACAAAAATATGAGGTCTTTAAAAGCACGTTTCGTAGAATGCGAGATAATTATATGCGTGTAATTTAAAAGATATTTTTAATTAGTGATGTTTGAGGTTTATTTATCAATAAAATAATAAATTAGTTTTTTATTTAATAACCCCCTTAACGTTGAGCCATCTGTTTGACATTGATGGGATAGCATGCAGATTGGGGGCCTGAATAGGCCTTTTGAGCAATAATCTGATTGAAAGCTTGAGTCGGGTGATAAGCATCCCAGAAGACATATTCATCCCTGTTGGAGCACGGGATGGAAAATGGAAGACATGTTATTTCCCCCTTGTTTTTCCCAATGCCACAACACCCTCTGTCCATCACTTGAAACCCTGCAATTAGGGATGGGATTAGATCAAACTTTAAGATGAATCAACCGATTTGGTCTAATGAGATGAGAACTATATTCCTTAAGCAAGGTCAATGTTTGAAGCTCGACATTTGTGTATGAAGCAAACTATTATGAAATGATCATTAAATTTTAGGAATTCTTACACTTATTATAATGTCACAGTAATCATCTTATAATAGTTCAAGAAATTTAATGATTACTTTGTAACTTTTGAACATTTAATAACTAAAACGGTTGTTTTAGAATAGTTCTATGACCTATTGATAAACAGATGTTTTCCACATAGTTTAAGTTCTTACCGCAAGTCTTCGGATTACTTAGTATGTCGGTGAAGGCTCCATAGGTATTGCCATAAACAAAAATGGCATTGTTGGTGTAGTTAGCGTTCAACTGATCAACAAGAGTCTTGAGCCGCCTGTTGAACACTTGCACCACGTCGTTCACGGCCGTTATACACTTCCCCGGCGGCGCAAAGCCTTTGGCCAGCTGATTCGGAATGCAACCGAGTGGTCCGATTCCGGCCAACAAAAATTTTCTCAGCCCTGTTTTGTATAGTTCCTACAACAAGTGAACCAATTCCACAGATTCAGCACCAACTACATTCTAGCATAGCAAGTTACTTTTTAAATATTAATAAATAAATGGATAAACTACATTATTAATCCCTAAGTTCTAGATGTCATCTCATTTTAATCATTAAACTATAACAAGAGGAAAGGAACAACCTGCGAAAAAGGAAACTGAAAATTTGTGTCATCACATCATTAGTAATTTAATAATCCAATAACTAAAAATAAAACACTTTATAGTTCAATGATTAAAGAAGAGACAATACCTAAAGTTCAATAACTAATGGTACAGTTCAACCTATATAAATGGTAAACTAAGGTTCTATTCGATACACAACTTAGTAAAATTTATATTTTATAACCTTGCCAACTTTAATCCTAAAACCATACTCTAAATACAATAGACCTTAAATTCTAAATAAATCATATTAAAAAGATCAAAGTTGTGGAGTATGAATTTCAGACTGATTGGTCAAATTGCTCATCTTTGTTCCGTCGTATTCTCTTAGGTCATAGGTTCTAGATCTATTAGGGACATTCTCTTTTTTCTCCCGTAAAATCTTCTTTCCCTCTTCTCTAAATAGAATTAGATTTAAAATTTGCCCAAAAAAATAAAAATAGATAGCATGTATTACCGTTATTTGACCTGCATATTTGTTTATTAGAAGATTAGCAAAAGCTTCAGGTGTGTAAGTGGAGCTTGATGAGTAAATAGAGGGCATGAGATAATTGTTGATGTAGTCGTTGCTGCCAATGTTCGTGACAAGTAAAGATTTCCTCAAGTGTTGATTCAACATCTCCTGGTCCATTTGGTTTTGAAGCTGGTCCAATGTGCTTTTGAAATTCTCAACCTGCTGAGTCAAGCTGAACCTGTCCCCCTGCTCCATCAATTCATTCGTTAAGGGAGAGAAAAACTCAACCCTAAACTGATTTGATATCAGTTTTTACCAGATTTAGGCCACTTTCCTCGAGGATCCCAGCCGCGGCTGAAGCATAGTTCACTCCGGTTTCAATGTCTACTTCGCCGCCGAACGTTTCTGTGAAGGCGGGAAGTAGTGGAAGACCTAACAAATCTCCTGCAAAATGAGAAAAGTCATATTATGGATCTGAAGCCCAAAAAAAGAGAGTAAATTACGCAATCAGTATCTAAACTATTAGCTTTTATCTGTTTTAGTATCTAAACTTTTAATTTTTTTAAACCATACCTAAAGTATAGTTTTTGTTTCATTTTAGTACGCTTCCGTTAAAAACCTTTTCATTTTAGTACCCATTCAAAATTTTACGTTAAGTTTTGAAAAAAATTAAGAGTTTAGGTACTAAAACGGACCAAAATTGATAGTTTAGGTACTAAACGCGCTAAGTTTTTAACGATGAGGTACTAAAATGATATGAAAACTAAGCATTAGATATGATTTTAAAAAAATTGAAAGTTTAGATACTAAAATGGAATAAAACTGATAGTCTAAGTACTAAATGCATATTTTACCAAAAAAAGTTAGGGTCTAACAATGAGAGAATTGTCTCGATTGTTTTCTATAATACGTAATTCAGATTAATTAATCAACAAATCTAATATTAATAATTATACAAAACAAGTCAAAACTTTGTATTAAAAATATTTAAATTAAATTATTAATATAAGAAAAAGGCCAAAAGCCCAAAAGTATAAAAAAAAAATCATTTAATCAGAGACTAAGAAAATTTGGATTAAATGTATAAATATTTTAGATAAACTATAAAACAATTTATATTTAAGCAATGGGTAAAAACACTTACCTTCAATTGATATCAGTCATTTTTACCATTTATATCATTATCATAAACTCTAAAATATTCTACGATAATCCTCAAATTATATGGTTTACTCTAAATTAGTATTTAAACTTAAAAATATTTTATAACAACCTTCAAATTGCTATTGTCATTTTATTTTTTAAGATTTTGAAAATTTAACCACATCCTTCGAAATGTTAATTTATTTTTTAAAGTCTTAAGAATTAAATGTGTGACTTTCTAAGAGTTTTAATGGAAGAATTAAAATAAAATAATAATAATAATAATTGAAGGATTAATATAGAACATTTTAAAAAATTAATAATTAATTTAAAATGAAAGTTGTAATTAAGAAATAATATAATATTTTTTAAATTTAAATATCGATTTAAAATGATAATATAGTTCAAAAATGTTTTTGTAATTAACTCTGGTAATAATAATTCAATTCTGTGTTGAAATTTCTAGATATCATCTACCTGCGAACTTATATAAAACTTGGCTTTCTGAATAAAATTTTAAAATGCATAAACTAATTAAAACATGGTAGTAAGGTGGAAATAAATTTTCGTAGCTGCCAAACAATATATATATACTAAATCACGCACAGGGCTGAAACATATGAAAGAGAGAGATTGGATAGAGTTGGAGAAAAGCATGTACCGAGGAAATCTATGATGGTTTTCCCGTTGCAGAACCTCCCCGTTGGACCTCCATGGAAATCAATACCGTAGGGAGGATAATTTGATTTCGCCAAAGAACGCAAGCCGTTATTGTTCCCGTTATCCACTAACGAATCGCCGATCACAAACATCGCCGGAAACAGGGGAGCTCCCGCCGCCGCCACACCACCGGAGACCGAGATTGCAGCCGCCAAACAGAAGGCCAGTACTCTCAGGTACGCCAGCGTCGTTTCCATATCTTCTGTGTCGCTTTTAATTCCCTCCTCTGCAACAAATGTTAGAATATAAAGATAATTAAGCTAGCGGTGAATGACGATGGATAAGGATGATGCTAAACCGTGTTTAAAAAGGTTAAAAACGGCTTTGAATCAGCAATGATGCATGAAAAATAAAAGGCGAAAGAAGGATTTAAGAGGTGATGATGAGGATGATGTTCATTTTCTCAACTCCTCTGCAGATTTTCAGCAATTTCTCGTCCTTTTCCCCATACTTTTTCGGGCTGTTTTGCGAGAGCGTTTCCAAGCGTATTTTCCAATATTCTCATGCTTTCTGAGTATTCTCCTCGCACCAGCGGTTCCCTATACCTACAAATCGATTCTATTTTGTTAAAATCTAGTTTTTTGTACGTGTCTTATTTTATGTTGATATTATTTTGGTTATTTTTTCCGTTTACGAATTTATAACCATCTTGTCGAATTATTGAGAAAAAAACATGTACTGACCATCCCAACTCGAAATCCATGGCTCTCATTGCTGCCTCCATATCGAGTGATGTGTTTGGATATGGCTCAACATACTGTGCAACAAGACTTATTCCAATTTGTCCCCCTTGTGTTGCCTACCAAACCAAATTAAAACAACCAATGCATTAGTATGATTGCCCGAGTTTTCATTTCACATTGTATGGTATGGGGTTAGGGTTTACCTGGTAGTTTTGTTTGTAGAGACTAGCAGCAGTTGCATGGACCGCGAGAAGCAGGTTATGGGAAACAATGTAGGGCTCGGTTGCAGCATTACCATTTGGACAAAAGTTTCTATCGGAGCATCTGCCTGGTGGACCTATTCCCAATGCATACCCCATTTTAGCCATAATCAATGGCTCATTGATTGTAACCCAATGTTTAACCCTATCCCCATATGTTTTAAATTAAATTTCGGCATAGTCCTTGAAATCATTTCTGCAAGACTGCAAGAAGACAAATGAGCTCCAATTACATTTATTACAAGTTGCTGTGTTTTAAGAAACCTCCATACTTGTTCTCAAGGGCTTCCGGTTGATCAAAGTGTATTAGTTTGGTTAAGTTAAAAAATCCCGAAAAAAATCGATAAAGAAAAAATTCGATTAAAAAATTTTAAGTAGTTCGATTCGCTAAATTAATAGATTTAACACGAGTAAAGAATTTGTACAATCAATCCAAACATAGTCGGTTTTGCCTGCCTCATATAATAAGACATGCATTCGTATTAGTCAATCATTGCCACAGGTAGCCCCTTCACATGCAATGGACGTATTCATATTCCTTACTACACCTTTTCTGAATAATTAAATTTGACCTTCCCAAATCATCATGGAAACCAGTGGTTAGGTCAAGCCACAAACTAAATTAGCGTAAAATGTTTGATATGTTCGAGACATAAGCTTGTGAAGCAATAGGAGGGGACATGATATGCTATTTATTTCTAATAACAATTTAGATATTATAAAGGCTTAATATCGAAATAAATGTCTAAACTATACCTATTTTTCCCAAATAGGTGTCTAAACTATTTTTTGACTCGTCCAGGTGCCTAATGTTACACATTTAGGTGCCTGAGTCGTCAACGACATTAATTTCTTCCGTTAAGTGACACATGTTACAATCTAATGATTTTGAAATTTATTTTTTTAAAAATATTACAAATATTATGATATTTATAAAAAAACTAACTTTTCTTATATTATAAAACAACACTAAAATCCCAAAATCGTAACCTTAATCCGTTGTCGCCGCCCTTTCCGGCCACGACCACTGCCACCAACATAGTCCCTACCATCCTCCTACTCATACGTTGTCGTAGTTTCCGTCGATTGGCCGTCAGAATCGATTAGGATCACGATTTTCATCATAAGGTTCGCAGGTATAAAACTTTGATTCGTCATCGATCGACTGTCGATCGTTCACGATTGCATGGGGGTTTCGGTCGTCGGGGGGAGGGGAGGTCGGGTGGAGCTTCATCGACGGAAAAAGGCGACGATCGACGTGGGTTTAGGGGTTGAAATAAAGGTTTTCAAAGTTTTGATTTTTTTTCAAAATTTGTGTTTACTTATATATATATATATAATTTTTTAATTTTTTTTTTAAATTACCATGTTGTGACACGTGTCACTTAACGGATGAATTAACACCGTTGACGGCTCAGACACCTAAATGAGTAACGTTAGACACCAAGTTAAGTTAAAAAATAATTTAGGCGCTGTTGAAAATATTTTGATGTTTCGATATAACAAATTAAGTTAAATGAATTTTAAGATTTTACAAAAGATTTTCTAAGTATATTTGATGTAATTATTCGAATATCAAAATATTACTCCAAGTCTTTCAAAGTTCATTTGAATCCTTACTAAAGTGTAAAATTGTGTTTTATACTTAAACTATTTTAAAACAATTTTACAAAGTATTTTGAGCCTTAATCGAGCCAAAAATATTTTCTTTTTAAAGGGTTTCAAGAAAAATCAGATTGTCCGAGGGTACAGATTCCCCCCAGGGGGAACAGATTCCCCCCAGGGGGTATCGATTCCCCGGGAACAGATTCCCCCCAGGGGTATCGATTCCCCGGGTACAGATTCCCCCTGCATGGTTTGGCTCCGAGAAATAACAGATTACTCGGAGGGAACCGATTCCCCCTTGAGGGTACCGATTCCCTTACTGTTCATCAGCCCAACGGTCATAATATTTGAATATTATGAAGGGGTATCGATTCCTTATGAAGGGGTACCGATTCCCCCCATTCTGGGAAGCTTATTTTTGCAGAAAAATCATTCTCAAATGGCTCCAAAACATCCCCAACGGCTAAATATGACTTCAAACATATTCCAAGCTATAAATACAAGCTAAGGACACTTGAAGAAGTAAGAGAACAACTATCCAAGCAATCAAACACAAGAGAAGAGTTTTTCAATCTTATTTCATCTTTATCTTGTAAATATTTTGTTCTTGTGAGCTCAATCTTGTAAACACCTACCTTAGAGAGGTTTTCTTGTTTACATTTCTTATCCTTTTGTAAAGGGGAAATGTTCTAGCTAATCCGGTGTAAAAGCTAGGGAAAGGTTCTAGTTTATCCCGGAAAAATTAGGGAGTTTGTAAGGTTACTCTTTATCCTCAAAAGAAAGAACAAATTAGTGAATTTGTTGGAAAATCCTTGGTGATGAGCTAAGGTAGTGGACATAGACTTTGATTGAGAAAGTCGAACCACTATAAATCACTGTGCAATTCTCTATCTTTCAATCTCCTTACTCCCTAAACACAAAACCGTTTCGACCCCTCTTTGTAAACCGTTCCGATTGTCGATTCGAGCTTCCGAAAATCCTAACAATTGGCATCAGAGCCTAACTCATTAAGAAGGTTTAACCACCTTGAGACGATCCTAGAAGAAGCTCTACCAATTCCTGACGCAACCGACAAAGAAATGACTTTTTCCTCCGGTGCTTATTATCTTGAAGAATATCCTATTATGGATTCACAACCGGTCAACAAGCCACCCTTCTTCAATGGAGAAAATTATGCACATTGGAAGAATAAGATGATTGACTTCATTCAATCATACAATCTAGGAGCTTGGTACTCAATCATGGACGGTTACTCCTTTCCACCCGGCAAGTACAACGATTGGAGTAGAGAAGAACAGAAAAATTTTCAGCTTAATTCTAAGGCTATACATATTCTATTTTGTGCTTTAGGCCCATATGAATATGGAAAAGTCTCATCTTGTTCCAGTGCCAAAGAGATTTGGGATAAGCTCCAAGTCACTCATGAAGGAACCGACGAAGTGAGGGAATCAAAGAAAAGTCTTCTCAACCATAGCTACGAGAACTTCAAGATAAAACCCGATGAAGACATCAAAGCTATGACGGATAGATTCTCTATGATTGTCAACGGTCTCAATGGATATGGAGAAGTAATCCCAAATGAGAAGCTTGTGAGGAAGATGATTTACTCTCTTCCAAAGGAGTGACAATAAAAGAAAACGGCCATTATCGAAGCAAGAAACCTAAAGTCTCTCACTCTCGACGAGCTAATTGGTTCCCTTCTCACTCATGAGATTATGGTGAAGGAAGATGAAGAAAGGGAAGAGAAGAAAAACAAGAAGAAGAAGAATGAGGACGTAGGCATCAATGAAAGCTATCAAGATTCAAGTGATGAGGTGGGTGAAGACGATGATAAACAAAAAGAAGAGATGGTCAAGCTCTTGAACGAACTCAAGAGATTCATGATTTCCAAGGAAGTGAAACATGAATCAACCAAGAAGAAGAGTCCCCCGATATGTTTCGATTGTCAAAGAAAGGGGCATGTCATGTATGAATGTCCTCTTCTAAAGAAAAAGGGGAAGAAGGCATTTGTTGCATCTTGGAGTGATGAAGATGATTCCAATGATGAAGATGAAGTAGTCAACCTATGCTTCATGATCACTCAAGAAGAATTCGAGGTATCTTCTAACTCAAATGAATTTAATTCATTTACTTTTGTTGAGTTACAAGATGCTTATAATAGGTTGTATTTGGGATTTAAGACCATGAATTCCAAATATACGAAATTAATTTCAAAACTCAAAATTGAAAATAAATCGATTTTGAAAGCTAGAGTTGATTTTGAAAATCAAAATGAAATTTTGAAAAATGATTTAGAACTTTCAAAAATCAAAATAAATGATTTAAAAAAGAAAAATTTTGAGTTAGAAGTTAAGCTTGAAAGCTTAACAAAAGAAAAAGAATTAATTTCTAAAAACAATCTATTATGTTTAAAAATGGAAAAATGCTCACATTGCCATTATCATGGTCATATGGAACATACTTGTCCTTTGAAGAAAGGAAAACATTTTAAAATTAGGCAAGTATGGGTTCCAAAAGGAACAAGGGGCATTGTAACTAACGTTCAAGGATCCAAAGCAATTTGGATACCAAAATCTACTTAAATGTCTCTTGTAGTTGTGTGGAAGCAATTGTGATGAAAATGATGATATTCAAGATGCTCTAGCCACACATGAAAAAGGAATGGGTAACCTCTAAGCTTAATACTTTTAATTTTGGATTATTTGGTTGCTCATTTGATTTTAAGCATGCATGAGTTTTGGTTTTAAATGATTATGCATCATTGTTTTAATCTCATGTATGTTGAAAAGATGATTATGATGAACATTTTAAAATTGTAATGATTTTTCAGAATTTTTAGATCATCATAATAAAATTTTGGTCAAAATTTGTTTTAATGCAAATGATATCTCTCTAACAATTGATATCAACTTTTCAAATACTTTGATTTTATAAATCTTAAAAAACAAATTGACCTAAATTTAAATGTTTATGCATGTGGTTTAAATAAAAATGATATCCCTCTAATAATTGATATCAAAAATTTTCAAATGCATAACATTTTTAGAAAACTTTATGCATATGATCTTAAATTCAACAATTGGTATTGCATAAAGTATTTTAGTATTGGATATATTGAATTTCATATGCTACTAACATGTTTGTTATTCTTTGTTGAAATTCAATTTTGTTTAAGTGTCAAGATCCTAAAAGAAAATTTTTATTTGGAATGCATTTATTGAGGGGGAGATTTGATTTTTTTTTCAAATGATTTTTAAAATGTCAAATTTACTACTTACTCTCCAAAGTTATTTTGAACTTCAAAGATTAGAGTCTTTTTGATTTAACAAAAAGGGGGAGAAGTGTGAAGGTGTTAAAGTGGAGAAGTGTTAAAGTAAGGGGGAGTAATTTCAAACTTGATTTCAAAATCTTAAAATTACTCAAATGTTTTGTTATATCAAAAAGGGGGAGATTGTTGAAAACATTTTGATGTTTCGATATAACAAATTAAGTTAAATGAATTTTAAGATTTTACAAAAGATTTTCTAAGTATATTCGATGTAATTATTCGAATATCAAAATATTACTCCAAGTCTTTCAAAGTTCATTTTAATCCTTACTAAAGTGTAAAATTGTGTTTTATACTTAAAGTATTTTAAAACAATTTTACAAAGTATTTCGAGCCTTAATCGAGCCAAAAATATTTTCTTTTTAAAGGGTTTCAAGAAAATCAGATTGTCCAGGGGGTACAGATTCCCCCCAGGGGGTATCGATTCCCCTAGAACAGATTCCCCCAGGGGTATCGATTCGCCGGGTACAGATCCCCCTACATGGTTTGGCTCCGAGAAATAACAGATTACTCGGAGGGAACCGATTCCCCCTTGAGGGTACCGATTCCCTCACTGTTCATCAGCCCAACGGTCATAATATTTGAATATTATGAAGGGGCATCGATTCCCTATGAAGGGGTACCGATTCCCCCCATTCTGGGCAGCCTATTTTTGCAGAAAAATCATTCCCAAACGGCTCCAAAACATCCCCAATGGCTAGATATGACTTCAAACACATTCCAAGCTATAAATACAAGCTAAGGACACTTGAAGAAGTAAGAGAACAACTATCCAAGCAATCAAACACAAGAGAAGAGTTTTTCAATCTTATTTCATCTTTCTCTTGTAAATATTTTATTCTTGTGAGCTCAATCTTGTAAACACCTACCTTAGAGAGGTTTTCTTGTTTACATTTCTTATCCTTTTGTAAAGGGGAAATGTTCTAGCTAATCCCCTGTAAAAGCTAGGGAAAGGTTCTAGTTTATCTCGGAAAAACTAGGGAGTTTGTAAGGTTACTCTTTATCCTCAAAAGAAAGAACAAATTAGTGAATTTGTTGGAAAATCATTGGTGAGAAGCTAAGGTTGTGGACGTAGACTTTGATTGAGAAAGTCGAACCACTATAAATCGCTGTGCAATTCTCTATCATTCAATCTCCTTACTCCCTAAACACAAAACCGTTCCGACCCCTCTTTGCAAACCGTTCCGGTTGTCGATTCGAGCTTCCGAAAATCCTAACAGGCGCCTATTTAAGAAAAGTGGTATAAAGTGATTTGGTTTCCTCTTCACATACCCAAGCTCAACATTATCACTTGGATGGCCATTCTAGATCGCCTTCCTACTTGTGATAGGCTTATTAGAATGGGAATTGCTTCCAATAGTCTTTGTATTTTGTGTAATGAGGATCATGAATCCAGAAATCACTTGTTTGTTGAATGTAATTATGCTACTTATCTCTGGAATTCTATTATGAATCTATCTAGCATGTGAGATACTCACATGTCTTGGGATTCAAGGATTGAATGGGCTGCTAAAACATGGAAAGGTAGATCTCTCCTTTCCACTATATTGAGGATCGCCTGGACTGCTTATATATACTTCATTTGGGAGGAAAGAAATATAAGAATTTTCAACAGATGATCACGAACAACAGATCAACTCCTCACGTCTATAAAGGAGCTAGTTTGATTAAAAATCAGAGACAATGAGTTCAATAGACTTGATTATGTAAACTCCAGACTTTGTAATTATTGGAATATTGACTAATCTTTTTGTTTGTACTTATGTTTTTCTCCAAATTGGGAGGATTGTTGTACATTAAACCTTTTTACTTGGGTAATAAAATCTACTTATCCAAAAAAAAGTGGTATAGTTTGTGCACTTATTTTAGTATTAATTCTATTATAAATTATAAGATAAATTACATGGTAAAATATACAAATGGTCCATCGACTATAGGACATTGTTTTGTTGATTCCCTCGAGTATTAAAAATTATAAAATGGTCCATTGACTATAGGATGTTGCTTTGCCGAGTCATTCGTCTTCTAAAAGTTACAAAACAATCACTCGACTATTTATTATGTTCTAAACTTGTCCGTTTCTTTTAAAAAATTAACGATAGTTTGAGGTGGATGTTAATTTGTTGTATGAGATATGATAGTCCTTTGAGATTCTGAGATCATATTTTATCATATCTTAAACGATAAATTAACATCCAACTCAGACTATTGTCAATTTTTTAACGGAAAATGACGAATTTGAAACATAATGAATAGTCAAGTGATTATTTTGTAACTTTTAATAGTCGAGCTCAACAAAGCAACATCATATAGTCGAGGGATCGTTTTGTAACTTTTAATAGTCAGGAGACTCAACAAAGCAACACTCTAGTCCATGGACTATTTGTATACTTTATCCTAAATTATATTAAATATCATTAAATTTTAACTTATGTATCGTGTTTATTATTAAAACTTAAATTGTTTTCATTTTAGTGTGGAATTTAAATTTTAGATTTAGTCAGTATTGAATTATTAAATTATTAACAACATAACATAATCTATTTTTCATAAATTATAGTTTGCGTATCAATTTTATTATCAAAATGTAAAATATTTTAATTATAGTCACTGAACTTTAATTAGTATATTAATTTGGTCCATACAAAAAGTCATTAACTCCTTTGATGTTACAGTTAATTAATTATTGTTGTTTATCATTCGTCATTCATGATAATATAAATATCAAATTAAAAAAAATTAAATATAAAGGACTAAAACTATTCCATCGCAAATAAAAGGATGCCATGTCAGCCTCGCTTTTACTTATTTTAGCAAAGGTGACTTGATTGACACTAAAAGAGAAGTTTAATGATTTAATTAATAAAATTTGTTGTTTAGTGATTGAAACAGAATAAACCTATAATTAAGTGAGTAAATAGTTAGTTTACCCTAATAAATTATAATAATTTGGGTAAATTATATATTTAATTCACCCAATTATTATTGCGATTCTTTTTCCACTTAAAAGTTTTTTTTTAAATTATACCTAACATCACATTTTGATTTTATTTTGATCACTTATAGTTAAAAAATAATAAAATTATTAATGTGTTAATTTTTTTTAATGATGACATGCCGTTATCTTGCATTCTTGTGGTGATACATTAACATTAATATTAATTTTTAACGATAGGTGACCAAAATAGAATAAAATACAACATTAGATATAAATTTGAAAAAAAGAGTTGGATGGCTAAAACATAATCACAAAAATAGTTGAGTGATTAAATACGTAATTTATTCTGATAATTATTATTGGCGTGGCATGGCATGGATGAATCTCTGCCGGTTGCTGCAATGAAATATTATCGTCCTAGTTAAAACGCAGGCATGCTCTCGCGCCTTCCTCTTCCCTTTCCTCGGCCACTCCCACTCATTTCATTGCTTTTTCCTCATTGTATATGTTATTCTTTTCAAAATTTGGGATTCTAGGTTAGGGTTTGCATGATCGAGATTGGATTTGAGAATTTGATTAATTGGGAATCAATCGTGGGAGTAGGGGCATGGAGAACGGTCACGATGAGAAATTGGCGGAAAAATTGTCCGGATTGGCCCTCAACGACAAGGAGTCCTTCAACGACGATAGCTTGTTTCAGGTCATGAAAGCCGTCGAGGCCGCCGAAGCCACCATTAAACAACAGGTCTTCTTCTTCTTCTCGAATAGTAGTAATAATAGAATCATAATTTCTTCTTTGTTTTCTCAGGCGGAAGAGAACAGTCGATTGAGGTCTGAGCTCCAGAAGAAAATTGAGCAACTCGAAAAATATGTAGGAGAATTTATCTTTTTTCCCCTTCATTCTAATCAAAATTAAGCTCTATGTGACCGTTATGCTTCTTTTTTTCTCCTGCTGGAATTTGTTTATATTTAATGGAAATCAGAAAGTGGAAAGTGGTAGTAATCCAAATGCTTCCGCTAACGAAGCTGCCAATGCCAATTTTTATGGAACATTGAATCCACTTACGAGTGCTGCTTCTTCTTCTGACAATTACGTTGGCCCTTCTCTTTCTCTTTTCTCTCCACCCTTATCAGCCATTTCTTTTTCCCCTCCCAGGTTCATCTTCTGTACACTGCGTAGCTACAGTAAATTAATAACTGTAGGTGTATTAATATGAAATATACTGTTTTTCTGATTCACTTGTTTTGATACGGTAGGCATCAATTTGATGGAGAATATGATTCTAGATTGCCACAAGGTTTCTTGCCGATGCCCCGAGTAAATAGTTCCAATTCCCTATGGAAACAGGTTTCTTCATGCCCTTTTACCATGTCTTATTAGTAATTATTATTCATATAGAGATTCAGTAACCTCTATTTTTCTGCAGGATAATACCCATAAGGTTCGGGAACAAGAAGAAGAGATTTTACAGTTGCGCAAACAGCTTGCTGAATTTTCTGTCAAGGTTGTGTCTTGGTTATTTTTGCTTTTCTCTCTTCTTTGAATACGATTTAGTTTTGGATTTTTAGTAATCTATGGTTAATCACAGGAAGCCCAAATACGCAATGAAAAATATGTTCTTGAAAAGCGCATTTCCTATTTGCGAATGGTAGGCTATATCCCAGCTTTTCCTCTTGCACTATCACTAATTCTCTTCTTCCTTTTTTGATTACTTGTTCTGGAATGGAAATCTAATATATAATATATATTTTGACAAATATTCACATCAGGCCTTTGATCAGCAGCAACAGGACCTCGTTGATGCTGCATCAAAAGCTCTCTCTTATAGGCAAGACTTCATAGAGGAAAATATTCGTCTTGCTTACCAGTTACAGGTATTTTCATTTATTAGTATTATTCAATTTTTACTTTGATGGTTAATATATACTTATAATTATGTGATTGCTACTTGTCTTCTCTATATGTCTTGAATAATATGTGCGTGTATTCTATTTGGGCATTGAACCATGTTGTTTTCTTTGTGTTAAGACTTCTGATATTAAAACTCAAACTATTTTGCATGTGAAAATACTTTGTTTTCTTCACACTTTTCATGTTTGAAAATCTTCTATCTCCAACTTGCGTGGTTTTGGTTCTTTATATTGTAATATTTTGTTTTATTACACTGCTCATGATTACATCTGTTTTTAACATTGATTTTTTCAATGTTCTGTTTGTGGTTCTTTTTTCAGGCTGCACAGCAAGAAAGAACAACTTTTATTTCATCTCTGCTTCCTCTTCTAGGAGAGTATTCCCTGCAGCCACCTGTACCAGATGCTCAGTCCATCGTAAGTAATGTCAAGGTGAGTTTCAAAATGCGTTCAAATTGCATTGATGGAATTACACTTGTACAATCTATTTTGACGCAAAGCCCATATAAACCTGCAAGATAACTGGGAGGTAGTCTGTATTCTGTATGATATAATTTATTTTTTTAAATTCAAATACAAGTGTTCTATTCTATCCTATCAACAATGTCAAAATGTGAGTGACACACTTCAATGCTATTCATTGGGGCTGATTATCCATGCTCAGATATTAATACGGTCATTGTTGTGATAGCCTTGTTCTATCAAATCATTGAATCCGCTGATGATTTGCAATTGATTGGGTCATTTTCACTGTAGTTAGGCTAATTCCTTTTGAATAGGATAAAATAAGATTGCATCGTTAGAAATTTTATTTTAAAAATTGCTTTCATTTGTGGGTTTATTGGCATAATATTCCATTAGACAAATGGGGGATTTTTTTTTTCATTCCTTTCATGCATTCCTTGCATTTTATTTGTGTGTTTGTGAGTGTTTTTTTTGTTCTTATAATTTAAGGGGAACTTTAGCGACCATAATAGTACTTTGATTTGAAAGTTTATTAGCATTACTTGTAGCGAAGTATATTATATACCTAGTTTCTATTTGCTTTTAACCTTGAAATCTCTGAAGAGACCCTGTTAAAAAATTAGGCATATGTTAGATAAGGGCACAAGGCAGAAGAGCGAACAATTTTTTTTGAATAAGTTTAAACGTTTTTCTTTTCTTTAATCAGAAGCATGAGGCTAGTACTTTTGCAGGTTTTATTTAAACATCTGCAAGAGAAGCTTATTGTTATTGAGGTATTTTTTTTTCTTCTCGAAATGAAGTTGTTTATAATAGCTGAATGCAACTATTTTTTCAGTTCTGATGGAGTCAACCTGGCTTAACTTTCTAAGTGTATATATTTTTCTAAATACTTAATCATGTCTACCATCTTCTTTTATGGCCTCAGTCAAAGCTTAAGGAGTCGCAATATCAATTGGCACCTTGGCGGTCAGATGCCAATCATTCCAATTTCGCCCCCCAATCACCTTTACATTCCCTTGGTGCAGCATTGCCAGCATCGGTATGCTCATATATCTTCTTTTGGTTGTACTTTTATATCATATTGATTTTCTTAAATTCTTATACTTCTTGTTAGAGCAAAAATGGCCTTGAATTGGTGACACAGCCGACATATTCCCAAGGAAAGATGCAGATAAATTCTGATGCTCAAAAGGACGCACAATGGGATCTACCTGGTCAGCACCAAGGTGGCTTGGGTGGTGGTATTTTGTCAAAAGATTTGGAACTTGATGATTTGGGGAGGTATTCACCAATACCAAGCAGGTAAGCCTGGTCAAATGGAGACTGCTACTATGAACTGAATGTACAAATTACAACCATCTGCATTTGTTGGTGGGTTCTGTTTTCATTAAATTCTTTTTGATGCCATAAATAATTTCAAAAATTAAATTTTCATGATGCACCAATGTAAACCTTCCATTGTGACATATTACTGCTTTCACATATGATAATCTGTCAACTGGTTAACCTTAATGGTAGGCTTTATGTAGATTGTAACCGTATAAGTCCTAAAAGGTCATTACTTCATGTCATTGTGAATCACACCTGAGATATTTGCCTCTTGTTTTATGCTTATAAGTATTTCTGATAAATAGTCAAATTAGGATACAAAAGTTATGAAAAGATAATTGAGGAGTCACTTTTTCTTATGGTTTTTGTTTGATGAAAGACATGTAGAATTTTCTTTAAGAACATGCTGAGCATTCTTGTATGAAAAGGGCATGGCAACATTGAAATATGTTAACTGAAAAAGAAGGTTGATGTTAACGGTTGCCAGGACTTCCACTCCCAATGAGATAACAATACAGCTGGCAGTTACTCATAGTGACACACATACTACACGATATGGTGAAGAAAATATTAATAAACAAGTTACATTTCGTAACCCTGTTAGCAATAGTGAGATGGATTATCCTGATGCCGAGGGACACCAGAATGAAAGAGAGCCTCCCTCCAACTGGGGTTCAGGAAATACTCCTTACGCTGCCGCAGACGAATCCAGTTCATCATATCCTCCTTATCCACCACCAGTTCTTAAAGAGGCTTCATCTTCTTTTTCTGAGAGTACAGTTTTACAGCACTTTGTTGGTTGCAACTATTAATTACTTTATACTATCTTAATTTCTTTATTGCTTTCTGCAGCAGCAGAGGATGATCCACTTCCAGCTATAGAAGGTCTCCAAATTTCAGGGGAAGCTTATCCAGGAAGGGAACTCCAGGCATGTGGATATTCTATTAATGGAACTACCAGCTGTAATTTTGAGGTGTTTTTTCTGGATTTTCTTGCCCTCTATTTTAAGTTTTTAGGATTTTTGAACAATTATTTCTTTGATATTTTTGAAGAGGCTGTGGATTAGATAACATTCCTTTAGATTCTGTAGTATGAATATGTAATCCAGTAATGTGCTTGCGATGGCAGTGGGTGCGCCATATGGAAGATGGATCTGTTAATTATATTAATGGTAGTTGCTTATCCTTAATCTTTCCTTTGCTTCTCTTTCCATATAATCCCTGTTATTCATCGAATTCGTTTCTAAAGGAGCTTTGAAAAACAGGAGCAAAGCAACCAAATTATCTTGTTACTGCTGATGATGTTGATACATACCTTGCTATTGAAGTCCAGCCTCTAGATATCAGGAATCGCAAGGTATTGACTTTACTTCAATGCTGTTTTCCATAACGGGGACCTTGTGCATTCATGTGTAGTTTGTTATCTTTGGCTTTTCTGTTCCTGCCTGTGAATGTGGTTGAAGATTACTCTTGAACATTTTAGGACAAATTGCAATTGTGTTTAGAATACTGAGAAAAAAAGCCTTTTGAGAATGCAGCCACTTATTGAATTGTGGCTAAGAACCATAAGGGATATTCTAGAAGCTAAGAATCTAAGCCTTTAAATTGTGGCTCTTGTGTTTGATTCTTGGGATGGAAGAAGCAATAGGGGGATGGGAGACTTCTACTTCCCATTATGTAGCCAGAGATCATATAGTATTGAAAAAAGGAAAAATAAAAAATCAACACTTATTTGATTCTTTCCATTTTTGTATCTGCATTTTCTATTCTTTGCATCATTGGATTTCTTCCTACGATTCATATTGGTCTGGGTGCTAAACTCTGAAGTTCCCCATGCTGATGTGGCATCAGTAGGTGCTAAGTAGATTGGAGGGTGATTGCCATCTATGAAGATCAATAGTATTTGTTGTAAATGTTAAGTTTGCAATTATTTTTTGGGTATATTGCACTCAATAGTTCTGAAATTTGCACTAGGCACTATTTTGCAGTAGGGAAGCTATCTTTTTATTGCTGCCTGCCAAATTGTATAACACTTTTTTGTTGTCAATTTAGGGAGAGCTGGTGAAGGTCTTTGCCAATGAGCACAAGAAGATCTCATGTGGTGAGTGATATTGATAGTAGTACCTGATGTTTATCTAGAACACCTTTTCTTTTTAATGTTTTTAAATGAAATTAGAGAAAACTAACTTAGGGTGTGTTTGGAAAGCCACCCGATAATTGGATTTGGGTAAAAAAAATTGTAACTACACATGCATGGTATGTTTGAATAACTATTGAAATTAGGTGGTCTCATTGAAATGAGTGTAATTGGAGAACCCCATTTATGCTCTTCAATTCTTATATGAGGTTCTCCTTCCGCTGATTAAGGAGCTTTTTACGAGCTCCATTAATCATGAAGGGGGTTTTTAACGAGGCCTCTTATTCTTATCAAAAAAAAAATCTTATATGGGGTTGAGAATGGGGGGAATTACGTGAGTAATTAGCCACAGTGACTTTCAAACATTTTCTTAATCCATTTCTTTAATTAATGGGTCTCATGGAATTGTTTGTAATTACACGAGGATGTAATTACTACCCTAGACCCTAGTAATTACACTTTCTTGCAGTTAATGTGTGTTCAGTTGATTTTAGTAGTGTAGTTGTTGTGTATGGTGTTTAATAAAGAGTGCTAAATAAACAAAGACCCAATAGTCAACTTTTTTTAGATTGACAATTGGTCAACAGCAATAGCCATGCAGGTTTGGCTCTCCCCCCCCCCCCCCCCCCCCCCAAAATTACATTTGTGTTCAATACTTTCCAGTACACCACCAACATCATTTGCGAATTGGGGATCCATTATTAATAACTGAATCCCATATATCTAAATGATGATAGCTAAGGTTTTGGAATTTAATGGAGGGGATCTCAATTTGTATCTCCATGATCTTAGTTTTTATTTTTTTTACTCATAGAGTTGTAGTCTGTTTTGGTTATATATGTCTCTTCTTCTGATCAGATTAAGTTTGTCTTGCTTTGTGCTTGAACTATTTCTGTGCATTTTATCATTTGAAAATTGTTAGCATCTTGTTGACTCATGTTCTTGCACTTGATATGGAAAATTTATTTCCTGGCTTTTCTTTTTTCTCTCTTTCCCTTTCTTTTCTTTTTTATTCTACTTTAACAGATCCGGAGATGCTAGGCTATATAGAAAAGACTCTTTATAGTGGTCATGCTTCATACAAAGTTTCATATTCGGTACGATTTCTACACTTGGATGGTTGTTTATGTTGCTCATTGTTCGATAATGACTCCATCTAGTTATCCAATGCTTATCAGCATAATATGTACAGGCTATTATTTAGCTTGATAACGTCAGAGTAGTTTCTGACTCTTTTATATTACAGACAGGATATCTTGATATCTGGGAGCCGGCTACATTGGCTATTAAAAGGGACGGTTACACTATTAAGTGTAGTGGACCCCATGGTCTTGTAGTCTCTGAAAAGTTTTATCCAACTACTGAGGTAATTCACATAATTTATATATTCTTTTGAGATCCTGTTGGAGTGATGCAGGAGTAGGAGGTTAAGATTTATAGCAATTCTCAGGTTTGATTTGATGGAAATCATGAGAAGAATAGGGAAATTAATGATTAATGGATAAGAAAAAATCCCTGAAGATAAGCAGATTTTTTTTTTGATAAAAAAGGCCTCATTAAAAACCCCCTTCATACCCTACATGTTATAAACATAACATGAAGGGCATAGGAAGAAGGAAAAGAGTTATTTTATTATAACAATAGGGATCCAGGTTTACCCTAAGCTAAAAATATTGACTTAGAGGTGAACTTTCAGATCCTAGTCATAATTGATATTAACTTTACAATGTACCACATAAAATTCTGCATTTCTTGTTCATTCAAAAAAGTGAACCCTCTACTTAAAAAAAAAACCCAGTGAACCTTCTGTGCAGTTATAAAATTGCCTAAATATGTATATGCCCATTTAGAGCTTTTTGATGGACATATTGAAATTGAGAGCACTGATCTTGCTTGATTTTGATATATCATATTTTTTCCCGAAGCATTAGTGACGATGAGGAATCCCGAATTTATACTCTCATATATTTATATTGATATCTTTTTTCTGTGTTGTTTATTGTTTTCTCTAGATTAAGATAACATTTGGAGAGCCTACAGAGTTTATGATTGTGGGATCAAATGGTGTTCAGCGTCTCTTACGAGCAGATAGCAGCCCTACAGATATCAGCTGGTAAGTTTGAAGTTTCTCTTGTAAGAAACAAATAATTGCTGATTTAGAAAATAGCATGCCCCACATCCCTAAGCATAGTAAATCAGAGAAAAATGCCTCAGTTTACAAAATTAATATTATTCCAAGAACAGACAAGGTACTTCCATTTCATCTGAATGGAGATCATAATGTCCTTTGATGTCTCATCCTGGATGTTTTATGCTCTGGAATTGAAAATTTGGGTTGATTAGCTGTTCAAGAAAAACCAGATTTGGAAACTGCTTATTCTATCGTGAAAAGTACCGTGGAAGTACAATTGGGATTTTGCGGGCTAAATATTATTAGTATGTAATGCTGGTTGGTTTTAAAGAAATAAATCAGAACCTTTTTTTTTGCAAGTGCATGGAATACGCCATAGGTGGTTGGTTTAAAAGAAATTCCATGTGATTTCATAGATATGGTGACTAAGGTTATTTCCATTATGAACTTATAATGGCAATCCGCTGAAGACGGGGCTCTGATCAAATATGAGGAAATATTGGACGCAAAACACTTATCTTACGGGCGTCTAAATTTGCCTAAAAATATGGAGTGGCCTGTGATTCGGTTTCTATTATAACTTATAATGCCATATCGTGGAATTGGTGCATGCCAACTTAGTTTCATTTCAATTAAAACTTAGACATCTGTTTTCTGTTCCATTCTAAACTTATTTGCTCCCACTTTTCTCTCATCCCTAAGCTCGCACTTGTGCTATATGTCCACAACTTTGTCTCTTTAATATCTCTAGATAGAAAATCGTGAAATGTATAACTATTTTATTTTTACATTTCACTTGTGCAGTTCAAGAGATACAATTGTGCTCACCTTGAGATTATTTATCATACGGGTATTACTCATCTCTTCTATCCACTTCTCTTTAATTTCTATGTCATTTGCCGAAATTTCTTTACACCGTATGTTATCACGCCATTCTGAACTCTGCTTAGCCGAGTTTCTAGCATTTATATCGAATGTTGAAGGAACAAAGTTTAGTGTTCTGATAGGGTTTTATTGGGTTTGTAATAATCCTTGCATCATGTGTTTACTATTGTTTTTTTTTTGGGTATGTGATTAGCTTGCGCAGGCTGGTGAGAGAAAAAAGGGGAAAAAGAGAGGATTATTCTTTCACAAGGTACACAGTTAATTCAATGTGCAGCTCAGTATTGAGATTGTGTAGTATTCATTATTTGAAGACAGGCTATCTTGGCAGCGGCATAACCTGTTGAGTAGCTCTAGCTAGCTACCTTGTGTCCGAATATTTTTGTTTGCAGGCAGCCATCAATGTTGAGTTTTTTGTATTCAGCTAATTGTGTCGATATTTCCCCTCCAATGCTGCATCAGTCCAAATATCTTTGCTATTATTATTATTATTTAATATTTTTTTAATAGGTTTAAGGATGTAAGAAGCTCTCGAACTTTGAAAAAAATCAAGCCCCTAAACTAATTTTTGTGCTCAATTATTTTTATTTTTTAATTTCATTCATTCACATCTTTGACCAATGTCGATTGTTAAATCTAACGGCCTTTTGAATCAATTGGTGTCGCATGTTGTTATGCGACATTTTTTCAAAAAATTTATTTTTTTAGATTTTTCTTTAAATATGTACATATCATGATAAAATTATAGTATGCCATGTGACAATAATATATATATATATATATATATTTAATACACAAACTGTATAAACTCTAATGGTATCTATTCTATTTAGGGTTTAGGAAGTTGGGTGTAGAATTTAGAGTTTTAAAGTTTATGATTTTGGGTCTAGAGCTTAAAATTTAAAATTAAGGAATAAAATAGATATTTTTTAGGATTATAATACATATATTATGTAAAATTTAGGCTTATGATTTTGGGATTAGCAAAGTCTGCAAGCATGCTCAACATCATATTTCGCTGTAGATTATCTCTTTTAATAATAAAATCTGGGTGTGCATTAGGAAATCAGTGCATTGATGCTTGTGGGTATAAAATGATATGTATCTTTAAATATTCAGCTCAAATTCGTTACCAAGTGTATGCGTACCAAAACTGAATCGATGGACACGACCCTTGGGATCCTCAAATTTGAAACAAAATGAGTTTCCAAGGCCTAGGGAAGGATAGGATGATAGCTTCCCGGCATCTGCCCCCTCAGATGTCATCACTGCCGATATTTCACTGAAACGAACATTCTGCAGGGTTGGTTCATGTGTATAACATGTTGGAACCATAAGTGAGGCAGAATTAGTTACCTCTGTGTGTCATAATCATCTGGTGGCTGCAAAGAAAGGGCGGAATCCCAGAATTTTTGCATCAATGTACTTGCCATGCCATTAACACCTCCAGGGCTACTTTCAACCTTCAAAAGACGAAAATTTCAGAAATAAAAATTTAACTTGACCCAAAGGAGTAAGAGTACATAGAAAGCTAAACAGATAATGAAAAACATTAACCATGTTCACATAAGAAGCATACTACAAAGTATATGTTAAAACCTTACAATAGGGAATTTTTCCCTTTAACTTTTTGCTTGTTACTAGTAAGTTATATCCAGTAGGAAAGTCCGTAGACATGCCAAGTGCAATTGAATGACTCAATACCATATCCAACAACAGGAGGAGAGATTAACCTATACGCTGCCATATCTACAACTATCTCAACAACTCAAGAAGCATTGGACTATACATATCCATAGATCTAAGTATGAGATTTGGGAAGGTGCTGAAAATGTTCAGGCTACACATTTTGAAGGTTGGTACTTGGAATTAGAATCAAGGTTAGAATAAAGTAATTGTCATAACGACCATCAAGATTTGCAACTTCCAATACCATGCTTTTCAAGCTTGAATACATCTGTTCAAGCAAACTTGCAAGTTGGCTTGACTCAGAATTGCACCATCATATGCTCTTTCTTTCACACAGGGTAAAGGTAACTCCTGGATCTGAGTGTACAGAGACATCCTATATTAAGGCCATGATTAGCTGTTTCTTTTGCTACTTGCTTTTTTGAAGTATAAAAAAAAAGAAAATGCTTTTTGAAAATCATAATTATATATTTTGGAGAAAGATTTTCATGCTTTTTTTAATATATAACATAGTTATGTTAGGGTCTAGATTTAGATTTTAGTTATTGGTTCAATTTCTGATAAATTATTTTATTTTGCTTTTCAGAAACACTTTGCAAGCAAAAAAGCAGATAGGAAAAACCAAGTAGGAATAGGGATGGCAACGGGCCGGGTTCGGGCCGGGTATTGGTCTCCCGTCTCCGTCCCCGTTTAAAAAACCCGTACCCGTCCCCGCTTAAAAAACCGCGGGGATTTAAACGGAGATCCCCATCGGGTAATCGGAGAAAACCGCGGGGAAACGGGTATCCCCGTTTAGCATAAGCGGTTATTTAAACGATTATTTAAACGGTTATTTAAACGGTTATTTAAACGGGTATCCCGTTTAGCATAAGCCACAAATACAATTTACATGCAAAGACACAACATATAATACACTTTCCAAGGCAGTGCCAAGACATGTTCCTTGGATAAAAAAATCTATTTACAAAATTGTCAAGCCTACCAATTACAATCACATAAATGCTCACCATGTTGCTAAAGTATTTACGCATAAAACAGAGTTGAAACTCAGTTTAAAATTTATTCCTACATAACAGTGGAGGGTGAATAGCAAAGGCTACAATGTACATCAAACCAAATGTACAAGAATGAACCTTTTCCACCAGAGTTAGCTCAGGGGAGAGATTTTGTGCTACAACTCGCATAAGGATGTCCCTTGAGCTGCAATGCATAGAGGAAAGCTAGTAAGCACAAAAATATTGAAAGAGGTCTTCAAATCCGCACCAAATACATGTGATGGTGCAAAGAATCTCAAAAGCTAATATTAATCAATTCATGAGTTAAACAAAAGGTTTTGTTAGTATCCCCTGAATTTTGTTCCCTGTCACTATAACAACTGAACTAACTCGCAGCTCTCGCATCTTTTTTGCAGCAACACAGACGGGATCCGATGATGAAACAATTGCAACCATGGAAGAGGATCAAGGAAAGTGTGAGACCCCTACTTCGGATGTTTTTCGTTGACAGGTCAGTTGCTTGAGCAGTTCGTGGAGCACCGTCACAGCAAGATTTCTAGCATCTCCTTCAGAGTACTGCATTGTAGTTTAATGTGCATATATATTCATAGAACCTTACTCATGTATTCAGTTCATTAAACTCAGAGTTTGTATTATTTTGGTTTTAAATTATATGTCACGGAGTTCAAGTTTTGTAAAATGTTTTTATAACATTTATTTATGTTTTATTTATGATACCATTTGGCACGTTTAAAAGGAAAATGAATAGGTTTTGAAACTCAAGGGTTGTCTTAGTAGCCCAGTGTGTCACTTTAAATCCAATTAGATTTAGGGTGTTACACCCACCCATTGATTTAGAACACAAAACTGAACATTATTTTATTCAAACCCTACAAAAAAATTAAAATAAACCTTAGAACCCAAAACTCAACGAAGAAGAAACCCTAGAGCAAAAGAAATCCCAAAGTCTTTAACCACTTATCATATCCCAAAGTTCTATCTACTCATCACGATGATATATGCTACCCATTTTGATTTTTCAGTTCAAAACTCCAAACGAAGAAGACACTCAGAATATCATTCAAATCTCTCTCAGAACTTCTCTCACAAAGTGTTTCAAGGGAAGAGAAGAATGATTTCAATCGATTTTAAAGATTGACATGAAAGGACTTAGTGTTTTAAGGAAGCTAAACGGGTTAAACGAGTTCGTGTTTCCAATAATAAGGCATTAAATTTTTTAAACATATGTCTTTTCCTATTTCCAAATTGGCTTTAAGAATATTATAAAACTACATGTCTACTTCACCGTTAGTAGATAAAAGTCATCTCAGATGCCCGTTTTGTTTTTAACGACAAGTGGTATGATTGAACATAATTACACAGTTAAGTAATATGATTGACAAAATTTAAAGATTGATGCTAAAAGTAAACGAGCTAAATAGTTGAGTGATCAATGGAATAATTTATCATAATTTTAAAAATCTTTATTTTATAAATAATAAAATTCATAATTTTTTTTAAAAAAATTCGTGCATTTACTTTGAAATTTTTCACGAACTAGATGTTAAAGTTAACGTATATTTTATTTAAGGTTTAAAATTATAATTTAAAATAAAAAATTTGAGATTTATGATTTAAAGATTAAAACTAATGTTTAAGATTTAAAATTATTTAAACATATCATATAACATACAAATAATATATTTAGGAATTTTTTTCATCACTCATATATAAAATAATAACTTTTTAAAAATAAACAAAAAAACCTATCGTATAAATCATTAAACAATAAATATTGAGCAATAAAACACTATGGTTCAGTTTATTCAATTTATTAAAAAAATAACATCTCAATAATTTATATTTTTATAGAAAAACTTTATGAAAAATATATATTAAATAATGAATAGAGGAAGATCTTCTAATCAGGTCCGTCTCAAAAGAAGTGGAGGTCATGTGTTATTTTTTAAAATGAAATCCTTAAAATATTTTATATTAAGATGAAATTGTAAAATGTCAAAATTTATTAAATTACGATTATTTCTTAAAAAATAAAAAAATTCAAAACATATGAAATTAAGTTTTCTTCATTGAATTTTCTTCACACATATGTATATTAAGAAAAATATTTTTTCAACTTAATAGATTTATCATAGCATGAGACCCTCAAATTTTGAGACCATATAACGTATCACAAGTTACACTTGCCAATGGATGTGCATGCTTTAACGTAGAATAAATTTGATAGATTTTATTTTATTTCTTAATATAATATTTAAACTACTTGTAATCATTCAAATCTGTCTAAAACGAAGGTTAATGCATCCTTTGTTCATATACATTTAACCTTTTATCTTATAAAATACTGCAATATCAATGATATTAAATAAACTCTATTGAAAATAACACAACATATATAATACATATATAAATGAGATGACACAGACTTTGAACTGTAAAAGGTATGACATATGATATGATCCTTGTCAACAATGGCAACTTACAAATAATCAAGCAACACTATGTATTGCTACAACCCATGGTAAGTTAATTGTACAATGTCATTCCATATCAAGAGAAAGATGAGCCATATTGAAGGCAAGAGCCTTGGTGTGTTCATGAATTCTGCTGTCTCACTTCTTGTCAAGAATATCATAGAAAACCTTTGGTTTTCTGTAATCTGTGATGCACAATGCCTAGAACAGAAATGTACTTTTAGACGTTATCGACCGAAATATATATAGGATTATTATCTAGGACACATCGGTAAAAGTTCACGACAAGCGACCTACCTGCATTGCAAGAGCTATGTGCATTAAAGTGGGTTCTGACCATGGTTTCCCTATGAATTGAAGGCCAATTGGCAAACCAGCTTTGTCATAGCCAACCTATGTAAGCATGGAGGATTTGATATCAGTAGATAGTAAACAACAACATAAAAACTTCAATGATTAGTGGTGGTAAGTTAATTACGGGAACGGTGATCGCAGGTAGTCCCAGAAAGTTTCCGGCGATCTGATATCGAATAATGTTAGCTGAAATGACAGTAATATGGTCAGCTTCTTTTGTCATGAAGATTTAAACATAAATGCATACTTGAAAATGTGTTGGGATTTCATTACCTCCGTTTATGTAGTCAAGTTCACCAGTCTTTAGAGCAGCTTTGGATATGGGGTATGCTGTCATACTGTTTTGAAAAGAAACTGGGTAAATATAGGGATTGCAAAGTTTAAGTAAAATACTGAAGGTGAAAAAAGTACAAAAAAAGTAAAAGACAGAAGAACAGATGCAAGCTGTGGCAGTGAAAAAGTATCTACCCTGTTGTTGGAGTGACTACGACTTCTGCCTTGGTGAATATTTTGTTATGAATCTGCATATGGCGGTACCTGCACATTCATGGTCAAGCACCTTAGTTTAAACCAATTCACGATAAGTGGAGAGGACTAATTATAATTTAAAATTGTTGATTGGAAAAGTTAGGTTGTAGCATATTTTGGCGATATACTTCTTTTTTGTTTGAGTGAAGAGTCAAGATCGATTGCTTGAGGGAGGAAAAATAGAGAGTAGACAGGCTGAAGACGACGATAAACAGTCAACGATAAACAGTCGAGAGATTAACTTTGTATGGCGCTTATATACAAGCCTTTAGTGCTGGTGTTATACCTAGGTCATAATAACTACTTGTCGACTAGCATGTCAAATAGATATGACTACATGACAATAGATTTGTATTTCATAGATCACGTGGGGCTTATCGAGATTATCTATGTTGGTAATGCTCAATCCCACATTGAGTGAGAAATACATTGGGATTGGGTATTTAAGGTTTACATTCTCCACTCCTTTGTTAAGTGATAGAGAACAAGGGGGCTTCTCATACACCACCGCTGTTGTTGTCTGTCTCGGCTCGACTCAACTTGTGGCATACGTGTCTTCGATACATTCACACGAATTATATCTTTTTAGGTAAGGAATTTTTCTTTGAAAGATCAAATGGAAAAATGTAAAAGAACATGTCTGATATTTATAGGATCAAATGGTCTGTTCGAATTTTAAATTTATAGGTTTAACAGCTTAAGACAATGAATTAATACAGAAATAAAATCAGATTTTATATATGATCTACGTTGGACGAAAATACACCTGCATGCAACCTATAAATAGAGAGTTCATTTTCACTCTCAACTCATTCAATTTACTCTCAAACAATTCTCTCAAAAGCTCTCACAGCTACTAAGAGATCTCCGGCAATCTAAGGACCAATACCACCGGCAATCCACTCTGGTTCCGGGTGTACGAAATTTGGAGCAACCGTATTAACCTCGGGGGACGATCCGCCTATTGGAGTGATTACACACATCGGGGCGAATTCGTTTCTAAGGCAGTAATTTCATCACAACATGGTTAAGGGTTTTGATTTTTTCCTTTAAATTTATTATTCTCAGTCAATGCTAATGGTGTGATTTTGTGGTCTATATTTCCAATAATTTAGAAACAAATTTCTCTCGATATACTGCAAAATGTCAACACCACTTAGCAAGTTGATTCAGAATTTATCAAAGCTCGATGCATTCAATGGAAATAGTTATCGAAGGTGGTCCCAACACATCCTTATATTCTTTGAGCAGCTTGATCTTGATTATGTGCTGCTCAAGCCTCCACCAACCACGTCGGTGATCCCGACTGTCGCTGATGTCGTAGCTATCGGAGATAACGTGTTGTCTAAATTCTGATACAGCTGTCATTGCCATTGGAAAGTACCAAAAAGACAATAACATGGTTTGAGGCCATCTCTTAAGTCACATGTCAAACAAACTCTTCGACATGTTTCTTAAGGAGTAAAGTGCGAAGGTGATTTGGGACACACTCGAGAAGATGTATGGTGCGGATGATGCGGGCATCAAGAAGTATGTTGTCAGAGAGTGGCTCAAAATCCAAATAATGGACGTCAAACCGATCATGGATCAAGTCCATGATTACGAGAACCTCATATCTGACATTTTGGCAGAAAAGATGTATATGTGCGAGGTGCTCCAAGCAAATATTCTGATCGAGAAACTCCCTAAATCGTGGTCCGACTATCATAACACACTCAAACACAAAAAGATGGATATTTCGCTTCAGAAATTGGTAAGTCATATGAAGATTGAAGAGGCTAACAACTTGAAAGATAAGGTGGCGAATAATTTTAGTCAAGTGTCTTTTAAGTCTAACTTGGTTGAACCTGGTGGTGCATTAAGGTCTAAGTTCAAAAAGATCAGAAAAAGGGGGTTTTAGAATAAAAAGACGAAACCACAGAAAAACACCAACTTCAAGAAGCCAACCAAGACCAAATCTAACGGGAGGACCCTGAAGTGTTATGTCTACGGTCAAGCCGGTCACAAGGTGTACCAATGTCAACACTGTTCAGCCTCCAAAACGAGAACAAACCACATCTGAACATGGCAGAGGACAATGTTGGAGATGTCATAGCCGTGGTGGTTTCCGAAGTCAATCTGGTGGACAACATTTCTGAATGGGTCGTGGACACTGGCACATCCCGACATATCTGCGCAAGGAAAGAGTTCTTCACTGAGTTTTAGGATGGGAACGACGTTGAACGTGTGTACATGGGGAACTCTAGCAGCTCTGAAGTGCTAGGCAAAGGCAAGGTTTTACTCAAGCTGACATCCGATAAAACTTTAGTGCTTAACTATGTCATGTATGTACCTGCCCTGCGTAGAAATTTAATAAGTGACGAACTTTTGAATACGGCAGGCATTAAGTTAGTTTTTTAGGCAAATAAACTTGTACTCTCCCGTAATGGTGATTATGTTGGAAAAGGTTTTCTGAACGAGGGTTTATTTGTCATAGAAACTCAAATTAATGAAAATAAAGCTATCACTTCTGCTTATATGATTGAATTTGTTGATATGTGGCATGCTAGACTAAGACACATTAACATTCATGCTTTAAAGAAATTAATGTAAATTAATGTCGTGCCTAAACTACACTTAACTAGCTTTAACAAATGTGAAGTTTGTGTAGAATCCAAGCATACTAAACCTCACTTTAACACTGTTTCTAAGAAAAAGACTAAATTTTTAAAACTTGTTTATATTGATCTAGTAGACTTTAGAAACACTAAAAGTAAAGGAGGAAAACACTATTATATGACCTTTGTAAATGATTACTCAAGATACACAAAGGTTTATCTCCTTAGAACTAAATACGAGGCTGAAAACTTCTTTCTTATTTATAAGGCAGAAGTTGAGAATCAATTAGATAGAAAAATCAAACGACTTAGATCTAATAGATGTGGTGAATACGGATCAAAATTCTTAAAAGATGTGTGTGAGAAGAATGACATAATTCTCGAAACTTCCGCTACTTATTTTCCTTAACAAAACGGTATAGCCGAAAGGAAAAATAGAACTTTAAAAGAAATGATGAACTCATTGTTGATAAGTTCTGGGTTGTTTGACAACAAGTGGGGGAAGTCATTCTATCGGCAAATCATTTTTTGAACTGAGTACCTCATAAGAAATTATATTACACCCCATACGAACTGTGAAAAGGATATACACCAAATTTGCAATACCTTAAAGTGTGGGGGTGTTTGGCTAAAGTAAGATCGCCAGAATTCAAGAAGTCCACCATTGGACCTAAGATCGTTGATGTTGTGTTATTGGGTATGCAACAAATAGTGTCGCATATAGATTCATGTTCCTACATGACCATTCTATTTGTGAGTCGAGAGATGTCGTTTTCTTGGAAGATTATTTTCCTTTAAAGAAACCTAAACTGAATGAAGAAACACAAATAGAAAATATTACATCCACTTCTTCTAGTGTACCTGCTAGGTCTACTCAAGAAATTGAATTCGACTTAGAAGAAGCAAAAGACAAAGAACTGAAACCTCTTTTGGACCAAATTTCATAAATTCCTTTATTTCTGAGATAAATGATTTAGACACCTTGTCTGATCCGATAGCTTGAGTCTTTCTAATAAACGAGGATCTGAAGACTTACGAATACGCTATGAGATCGATCGACACTAGTTTCTGGAAAGATGCGATTAAGGACGAACTAGATTCGATAATGTCTAATCACACTTGGGAATTGGTGGACTTGTCTAAAGAATTCAAACCGATCAGCAACAAGTGGGTCTTCTGGAAGAAACTCAGACCAGATGGTTCGATCTAGCGGTACAAGGTAAGTTTAGTCGTCAAATGATTCACTCAAAAGTTTGGTTTAGACTTATTCGATACTTACTCTCTCGTGACAAAAATCTCAATGATCCGTGCATTGTTTGCATTAGCCTCCATTCACAAATTGCAAGTACAACAAATGGATGTAAAGACTGCTTTCTTAAAAAGAGATCTAGACGAGGAGATCTAGACGAGGAGATCTATATGGAACAACCGCCAGGTTTTGAGACATCTAGTATGAAAAGCAAAGTGTGCAGGCTCAAAAAGTCTCTTTACGGACTTAATCAAGCTCCTAAACATTGGTTTGATAAATTTCATAGAATTATTCTTAGTTTTGGTTTTGTTGTGAATGGTTTAGACGTATGTGTGTATTCGAGGATGTTCGGTGCTGATTGTGTCATCATAAGTTTGTATGTTGATGATATACTGATTTTCAGTACGAACATTGAGTTCAATAACAAAACAAAGAGTTTCTTATCCACTAAGTTTGAGATGACTGATATGGGAAAAGTTGATGTGATATTGGGAGTCAAAGTAACCAAAATTGAAAAGGAGTTTTCTTTAAATCAAATACACTACATTGAGAAAGTGTTAAAGAAGTTTGATAGCTTTGATGATGTCCTTGTTCGAACACCTTATAACTCTAGCATACATCACTTTTAGAATAAAGGAAGTAGTGTTTCCCAAATTGAATATGCTAAGATAATCAGGAGTCTTATGTTCTTAATGAACTAAACTTTGCTTGATATTGCCTACGCTGTGAGCAAACTTAGTAGATATACCCATGATCCGAGTAGTGAACATTGGTTTGCTCTCAGACGCTTACTAAAGTACCTTAGAGGTACAATGGATTAGAGACTTGAGTTTGTTGGCTATCCTGCCGTATTAGAAGGATATTATGACGCCAACTGGACTTTTGATAATGATGAGGTAAGCTCTACGAGTGGGATTATTTTTACTTTGGGAGGAGCATCAAACTCGTGAAAATCTGCAAAGCAGACGTGCATTGCTCACTTTACTATGAAGTCAGAGTTTATTGCTCTTGACTTAGCTGGACAGGAAGCCGAGTAGATCAGAAATTTTTAAATAAAGATTCCTTTATGGGGAAGACCGACACCTCCAATCTCCTTGTTGTGCGATTCACAAGTTGCGATAAGTGTGGCCAAAAACCAAGCTTACAATGGTAAGAAAAGACACATTCACATAAGACGTGAATCGATTAGACACTTGATAAGGAATGGAGTACCAGCTTACCAAAGGGTTAAGTTGGAAGTTGGTCTTAGATTCGTCGAGGGGGATGGGTTTAAAGCCCATTGGTTGAGGAATTCATGGTGGATACCCAACTTAGTTATCTAAGTTCAATATGGTCAAACCACACCATAAAAAGACTCATAGTGTACATTAATCAATCAACCCCTATGACGAACAATGTACATGCCCATGATGAGCTTAATTACTCTTAATAAATTCATAGCCCAGGCTTTGGATGGTCTTAGTGAAAAAGACTTGTTGAATTTACCGATTTTGGCTGTATATTTATTTTTAATAAGTTCATAACGCAGAGTTGAGTGGGTAGTCCTAATTGAGAAGGATAAGTTGAACTTACCGCTAGAAAATGTTGAGTTTTATGAAAAAAAACTCTTAATGAATTCAAATCCAAAGTTTGGATGGTCCTAGTGAGAAGGAACATTGAATTCACCAACTAAAGATGTTGAATATTTATTCTTAATGACTTCTTATCCCAAAGTTTGGGTGGTTCATTTATAATGAACTTGAAGTAAGTCACCATACTCTCTATGAGGTTGAGCTATTGTATAAGCTCTTAATTATTTTATAGCCTTATTAAAGGTGGTTTATATCGAGGTAAACCTGATGAAATAACTTATGTAAGTGAGAAGGATTAGCCATCTTATATGAAAAAAGATGGGCCATTTTTTCTAGTACACTTACTAGAATCCTAAGGTAAGATGGTTCATCCACCTGAGTCTTCGATGTATATATATATCTTACACATCGAGGACTCAGGTGGATGAAGGGGTTAGTTGTGTGCTATGAGTTTACCCCTATCTTAGAAAGTTCAAGACTAGTTCCACTTATCTAAGAGAATGATCACTCATTATCACTATGTATTAGTTCAAGATACGTTCACTAGTGCTTTAGCAAGTAATCCTGCTATTGTTCTTCTGGAAAGATTATTTTCTAGTTTCAAAAGAATTCTTTCAGATTAGTGGATGATTGTTGGTAATGCTCAATCCCACATTGAGTGAGAAATACATCGGGATTGAGTATTTAAGTTTTACATTATCCACTTCCTTGTTGAGTGATAGAGAACAAGGAGGGCTTGTCACGCACTGCCGCCGCTGTCGTTCATCCTTCTTGTCTCATGGTCGTGACAATACGTGTCTTCGACATGTCCGCGCGAATTCTATCTTTTTATAGAAAATTTGTAAGGAATTTTTCTCTGAAATATCAAATGGAAAAATATGAGATTGTCTTTCGATTTATGAAATTAAAATTCAAACAGTTAGTTTTTGAAATTCAAGTCTGTAAAACATTGGATGAACCTAGACAATATTCAGGCTATGTTCCTATGTTCACAACGTTTTATTGAGCTGGTACATGTTTAATACAAGAGTTACAAAGCTTTAATGCAAGAGTTACATAGTTTTATTGCATGAGTTACAAATTGCTAGATTTATATCCACGAACCTGGACAGAATTGAGGTCAGATTTATTCGTTTGTATAACAGCTTCAGACAATGAATTAATGTAGAAATAAAATCAGATTTTATATCTGATCTATGTTGGACGAAAATACCCCTACATGCAGCCTATAAATAGAGAGTTCATTTTCACTCTCAACTCATCCAATTCACTATCAAACAATTCTCTCAAAAGCTCTCACAACTACTAAGAGATTTTCGGCGATCTAAGGAGCAATACCACTAGCAGTCCACTCCAGTTCCATGTGTACGGAATTTGGAGCAACCGTGTTAACCTCGAGGGACGATCCGCCTATTGGAATGATTACATATATCGGGACGAATTCGTTTCTAAGGCAGTGGTTCCACCACAACACGGTTAAGGGTTTTGATTTTTTCCTTTAAATTTATTATTCCCTGTCAGTGCTAATGGTGTGATTTTGCAGTCTATATTTCCAACAATCTAAGGACCGTAACAATCAGGAGAATATCGGATTTCGAGGGTTTTTAGGACCTCTGGAGTTGTTACTATGGAGGTCTCAAATTGGAGGAGGATTGATGGTGGAGATGTGACTTCAGAAGAAATCCGGAGGAAATATAACAAAAATCATAGGAAACCTAATATTTAACCTATGTATAAATTAGAATCATTGTACAACTTTAACATGCCTCATCATGTGTAGGCAAAGAGAGAGTACAAAAAAGCCACGTGACAAACTGGAAAGGGATAATAACGTAACAGAACTTGAGTTCTGATATCATGTTAAGTATCTAACCTAAAATCAATTGACAGTGAGCGGAGAGATCCAACTTTAATGTAAAACTTGAGTTCTGATATCATGTTTATGTGATTAAGAGTTAAGACAATAGGTCATCCTAAAAGGTATCGCTCCAAAAATTTCTAGACGATGAATAACCCATTAAATCACAAAACCACTCTACAATTGATCAAAAATCCATTGTCCAAGACTGTTAATGGGTGATAATTTATATTCTAAATGACAAAATTTTTTTTCAAAAAGATACATGAAAGTAAAAAATATATTGGCTGCAGTTTAGCTTACCTCAGTTTCTGGGCCTTTATATACTCATTGCTGTCAAAAGCACCATATATATCAACTACTATTCTTGCATCCCATCCCATTTCTGAACGGTCCCTACTTGAACAAGCTTATACTGTCAGAATATGAACTTAAAATTCCTGGAGAACATGAACATCAAGAGTAAATAACATGGTGGTTGAAGTGTAGAATGTAACATACAAATTTTCCAGATAAGAACTGAGTGAAGTGCTGCACTCGGAACCAATCGTCACATAATGTGCCTGACGCATTACTTCTATCTCCAGTATGGTAACCTCTACAGTCTTTTGAATGATATACATTGGTAGGATTAGTAAGCAATCACTTGTGTTTTGTTATAAAATTGTTAGCTAATTTTTCATATTAATCATGGGAAAGTTTGTCATTTGATTAGGCTCTAAGACGGGGAAATTTATTGCTATAATAACAAACTATTAAGCTTTCAACCTAAAACCAATTGACAGTAAGTGGAGAGACTCAACTTGAATATAAACTAGTTGACAGTAAATAAAAAATGGAGATGCAAAACTTGAATTTAACACCATAGGAAACCAACCTTTTTAATAGATTTGGTACAACACCAGTTAACAACTATAATACAAGGGTTGTTATTAATTTATACCTTCCAATTGTAACGCTCACAGAGGAAATGCAGAGCGTTAGAGCAGCATAATCTGACTTCTTCGTCACAATCATTGAACCACTAATAGAATTAGTTTATAAAAAAAAAGAATGAAAGGAATTAGAAATCTCATCCTTTTTAAGCTATAATTGAAGAAAAATGGACTTAAATTTATTGATCATATAATTTCATTACTTACCGCTCCATATCTTGCAAGCTTGATGTTCGATATTTGATTTGTCGAGTTCAGTAGCGGAAAATACACTTTTGGCTGGTAGGTTATCCATATGCCAAAGAAGGGAAGGTTTCCAAACTTTAGATTCTCCTGTAAAAACAATATAGGTGTGAAGAGTTATGTTACGCTGACATAGGTGAGCATAAGGGTACTTGTCTAATATGAATATGTTCAACTTTTTTTCGAATTATATATGAAAAATCGGTTTGGCACATAAATTGGTATTGGAATCAGCTTTTCTTTGAAGGGAGGTGATCTGCATTGAAAACAACAATTAATACCCAGAATTCTTAGTGATCTTATACAACTGGTACTCACAGGCAAAGTGGTTGTCTCATCTGATGGAAGTTGGCCACTAACAGCAGCATAACTGAAAACAGAAAATCAATCTAAGTCAAATCTATAACAAAGTGATAAAAAGTCAAGGAACCTGAAGCTTAGTCCCGTTGATTCATGCAATCACTTTTAAGAGGCGGCATCCGCCATCCGGAAGTTTTGGGATTCAAATCCCATCTGCAACCACCTCCTTATTCCAGTTTGTGGCCTCCACTGTACCAAAAATAAAGAAAACAAGGAAGATAACACTTACACAATAAATGCATCCTCTATGGTACCTGCTAGTATTCCAACCATTCCTACTGTCCAGTTAAGAGGAAGAACACTGGAACGAACAAAGCATTTTTAGATATTGCTTAAATTTTACACCTAATGAAACTCAGATTTGCTTTACGTAAACAAATTCTCACCCTGACTGTGGTATGCGTCCAAAAGTCGGTTTGAACCCGACAACGCCAGAAAGGGATGCAGGCATTCTCACAGATCCTACACAGAAACCATATATAAAGTGCATAAATTAGTCCATGGATAATGAAATTCTAGTTATTACTATGTATTTTAACTTTCTTAAGCAGTTGTCCAAATGCTAAAGGTGATATAGTCAGAATTCATTTTGCTTAATTTTGTCAACAGTGTTTGGTGGTTTGCTCACTGAAGGACAGTCTTTACCTCCTCCATCCACACCGAGGGCAGCAGGGCATAATCCTGCTGATACTACTGCCGCAGATCCACTAGAAGAACCACCAGAGATTTTATTGGGATCATAGGGATTTCTTGGAGCCCTGCAACATTCATAGAATAAAACATATTACCATTTTAATGTTTCTGAATAGAAAGAAATTACACAAGATAAAGAAAAATGTTGCATTTAGTCCGGTTTTGTTTCCTGTATATTAATTCTTATTTATGAGACTTCATGTGCAGGAAAATGTAAAAAGAAATGGTAATTTTGGTTTATGAAAGGAGCAGGTCTCACCCGTAGTGAGGATTAGTCCCACTTGGTGTAACTCCAAGCTCATGCATATTGCTCTTTCCAACAAGTATAGCACCACAGGATCTGAGTCGCGCAAAGCAGCATGCATCACCTGTGCAAGGTCTAACCCTGTGTAGCCACTTTGTACCTCCTACAAGAAAAAGGACTGAGATAGAGATAGAGACAGAGAATAACCATTAAGAAAAAGGAATTGATGTTCAAGCGTAGAATTTAGGAGACCTGCTGTAGGATATGGAGAACAATCTATTTCATCCTTGACAGCCATTGGAACTCCATCTAGAACTGATATTGGAGCCCCTGAATTAATAAGAAAACAATTAGATCTATATGAACATCAGATGGTATTGACAAAGGAATATTATAAATACAAAAAGATACTATATGAAAATGCAAGTCCACTTCTACAAAGTTAGTAAACCTGCGAACTTGTTTTTCACTTTGATCAACGTCTATAATATTGAAAAACTGAAGTATCCTGCTTAATTCTTTATGATTCAATAAGAAAGCACGTTAGGGTATGTATGATTTAATAACGGTCAAAAGTTACCTCTTTCATACCGAAGAGTTGATTCTGTAGCTTGCCTTAGGATATCTTCAGCATCATAGTTAATGAAGAAGGACACCGGCAAAGGACGACGAGACGATTCACGAACAGCATCTATGAACCGCTCTGCAACCTGTAGAATGTTAAAGTTGACTTTTCCATGATCATTGAAATGTACATTCATTATGTGAAAATGTAATCATGATATATCAATGGGATATTGACAACATGGCCATAAACAAAATAACCAAGAGTGATACCTTCAGCGGAGTTATTTCTCCACTTCTGTAGGCTCTCGAATAATCCATTACTGTCCAACGCCGGAAGTAGCCCGGCTTTAAAGATTCTAGCGAGTTCTCTAAGGTTGAAGGAAGGCAAACCGTAGCCCGTTGAACTTTTTCTGCTGGAGATGCATCAGGGTGAATCTCTATAACTTCTTGCTCATGGAGCTCTGTGTCGGTGCAATCAAATCAGACACAACACTAGAAGTTCATAATTTGAAAGGATATAAAAGGATGCTCATAGAACTCTAATTCAGAAAGATAGCAGAGCGTGCACGTGTCACATGGCCATTACCTTCTTCCTAAAAGACATGTTCGATTTCACGTTAAACATCCCAGTAGATAAAGTAAACAAGATGGACAACCAACCACCCGAAGGCATCATAAGATTGAAGGAAAATGTCAAGCCGTAGAAAGGTGGGGATATTAATCTCACATTGAAAAGAAAAATGGAATTCCTAGAGTTTAAAAACGGGAAAAGAATAACACACACTCGCGCACGCACATATATATATCTGTCCAATTCTGAAGACATGATCACTATAGCACACGCTTGCACGCGCGCTCTAATATAAGAACTTGACTATAACGAGCACTCTTATAGGTTCTTACTGTCCATTGGATGAAGCTTTACAATTCATCAGACACCTTTGGAGCATAAGAAACTTTAAGCATTTGGAAATCAAAAAGTGGTAGAAAATTAAGAGATTAGTTAATGGCAGTAGATATTTTGGATTCGTAGTTTAACTAGTTTTACGTTGATTCCAGTTATCTATATCATGCGTACCAACAAAAGGATGCAATGGAACAAACATGGGTGGCTCCTCCAGCTTTGCATGAGAGATAAACTGCACAAAAGGAAAAAAAATAATTTAAAATTTCCGAAAATATTATAGATTTACTATAATAATATTTACTATCGTGTTTCCCTCAATTAAGTTTATGATGTATTGATATTATATATCATTTTAATTTTAATCGACATTAAATTTTAATTTCGATCACTTGAAATTTCTTTTCTTTCTCTCTTCTAAAAAATATTTGTTTTCCATCTAATTAATCATTAACACTAACTCAAGCAAGAATTTAAATAATATATCTATAATATTATAAATTAATTAATTCTTGAATTTGTCAATTATAAATCATAAGTCTAGACTTTGTTATATTCAGTATGCATGTCGTACGTGTTTATGTTATGTTTTATACTTATATTATCTTATGTTTTAATTATTTAGTATTTTACATAATTAATAATATAAAATTAAATTTAAAAGAAAATATGTACGAATCTAGTTGACTTACTTTTTATGTTGAAAGTTCTATAAATTGTATTTTTTTTATCAAACATAAATTACATATGCATAAAAAAATTACATGAAATTTCACGTGTATAAAATTATTTTACGTTCATGTTTATAGGTCGAGTCAATAATATATTAAAAAATTAAATAAAAATTCTGTGATCAGTAGTACCTAACCCCAAATAAAAGTTTATGTTATACTTTTACTTAATGTCATATTCAAAAATTATATTTACGTTTAAATAAAGTTTCTTACAAACTTTAAAAAGGATATTAGTTTTGGTCAATAATCTTTAGAGCATGTGGTTGACAACTTCAAATTGACACATTCTCTCTTCTAGGTTTTGAGTTCGATACATGTTAGGAGCAAAAATTACCCTTCCCCCTCCCTTACGGTGGTGGCATACTGGCATGCCAACGGCAGTGATCAAAATGAGTTCCGATTATAAATTTAGTGACTTCAATATAAGTTTTAAAGGCTTAGTGATCATAATACAAATGATCTAACATTTTAGGGACTAATAACATATTTTACCTTTAAAATATCTACAATTACGATAGTTAATCAGTTTTATAATCATAATCAACGCGGTCATTCATGAAAGAAAATGAAGCTAATTAAGTGCTTACCTCGTGTACTCGATTTATCCTTTTCATTATGTACAACACCAGAGTTCCAAAGATCCCTGCCTCCAGAGTCCAGGCGAAGATTTTTGCCAGAAACCCACCCATGATAGGAGCTATACATGCACATCCATACATACATTCAGAATTCTTTTGGGAAAAAGTGATGAAATTCAAACACAGTGATAAGAAAGAGTGAATTGCAGTAAAAGGAGGCAAAATTTGAACCCGAAGCTCATCGGCAGCTGTTTTAAGTTCCTAGAGTAGAAAAATAGAGCATCTGAGATTCCTGATTTGGCGGGAATTGTTGATTCTTTAAACCAAAAGAGATTTCTCGTACTATTTGATGAATCTCGAATTCAAACGAGAAATTTCAGAGCCTGACATACTTAATTTGAGACAATTTTGTTCTCCGAGTAGCCATTTAAGTAATTGAAAAGAAAACTGAGAAAAAGAGTTGACGACGACGAAGAAGAAGAACGCAGCAAAACAATGGAATTAGTGAGATCGAAGAGGAAGAACCTTTGATATTGGCTTCGACGTATAATTCTTTGCTATCGGGACCGAGATCCAGTTCCTCGACTGGCTTGTAAACGGAGCCAGCAGCTCTCAACAATCCCATTTTCCTGGGAAACAAACAGAAAAATAAGAAGAAGAAGCTTGTAGCTTGCTGCTGCTGCTGGTTTGCGCAGATGCGACTGTCGGATTCAATAAATGCATACGTACATACATATAGAAAATAATAAGAGAGATGAGACGAATGTGGGGAGATGGTCACAATATTAGACGTTAATATCAATGTTAAATCATCATTAATTTTGACATTTTTTGTATCAATTCTCAATTCCCGGTGAGGAAAAATCAGAGCCAATTGTTTTTATCATTTTGTTTTTCTGGAGTTCAAATCATTTAGCTGAAATGAAAAGATAAAAAAAAAGGGAGATTTTTAATATCCTCGAAAGAGCCCGTTAATTATACTTTTAATTATTAATATAAAAAATATATATTTTTTAAAAAAATAAATAAAGAAAAATTTATCAGACATCTCTCAGTTAAAAAATTGTATTTATAGAAAATAAAAAAAATATTTTAACTCCGTTATAATAAATTTCTAGTTCCGCCCTTAGATGCGGGAAGACTTAGTTTTCCCGATTTGAGAAACTTGTAGAATATAAATGGATCGAAGGAAGAGTAAATTCATCTCATAATATAAAAATTATAAAATCTTACATCGATCCAGAATCTAAAAAAATAGGGTAAAATACACGAATCATACCCCAACTATATGATATTATTTTATTAAGTCATTCAATTATTAAAAATTATAAAATGATCCTCTAACTATATAATATTATTTTATTAAGTCTCTTGACTATTAAAAGTTATAAAATATTCATCGACTATCATTCTTTCTAAAGTCATCATTTTTCGTTAAAAAATTGACAGTTGTCTAAGCTAAACGTTAGCATAATGACTGAGATATGATAGTCGATTGAGATTCCGGATCCGATTTTATTATATCACAGTTAGCAAGTTAACGTTCAACTTAGAAAACTATGAATTTTTTATGAAAAAATGAAGAGTTTAGAATATAATGAATAGCGGGTGATTATTTTGTAACTTTTAATAGTCAAAGAATCCAAAAAAGTAATATTATATAGTCATAGGACTATTTTATAACTTTTAATATTTAAAGGACTTAATAAGTAATATCTTATAGTCAATGGACTATTTATGTACTTTACCCTAGAAAATAAATGTACACTAATGAGTTAGGTGACGGTTACTTATTGAGTGGATAGTACTTCATAACAACTTGTGCGGCCCAATGAATGTGATGTTGATTCATGATTAGTTAAACTACTTTCAAGCTTTTATTTATTCTCTTTCTATTGCATTTTTAGGGTACGTTTGGTTTACGGAATGAAAGATTACAAATGAGAATGTAAGATTAACAGATAATAGGATTATTGGGAATGTTGTATTTTGTGTTTTGTTGGTTTAGCAGGAATGTAAGATTACCATGTTTGGTTAAAAGAATAAAAGATTAGTGGAATGTATATTTAACCAAATTATCCTTATTATATATTTATTTTTTTAAAAAGTTGGAAAATATTTATATATTTTCTTTAAAAAATTTAAATTCATAAAATTTATATAATTTTTTTACAAAATTAAAAATATAAAAAGGTTTAATGAAAGGGTAAAATTTTATTTTAACCCCTGAACTTCATATAAAATTTTAATTATAGTTTTTTTGTAAATCTAAAATAGTTTAAGGATAAATTTATAATTTAACATTCGTAGAATTTTTATTATTCAATGACAGAAAAAGAATATTTAAAAAAAATTAAGGGCATTTTAGTCCAAAATGTCAGAAATTCAACAATACCTAAAGAAATGGAGGTAATGACATTTCCGGTAATATACCCAAAAAATCCACTATTGATAATATTACATTACTGAGAATGAGATTCCCGGGCTAATCAAACAGGGGAATGTGGATTTCATTCCCATGAGAATCCCACGTTCCCCAATCCAAACATCCCCTTAGAGTTCTATTTCATCCTATTTATTCTTAATTTTTATATGAGAGGCGGAACTTGACAGAATTCGATTTCAGTTAATTACAAAAAAAACTATTTTAGTTGGGTTGAAAATTAAATAAAATTAAAATAAGGGACTGAAATGGTAAAAATAGATAAATATATTTAAAATGTGCTTAGTAAAAAAATATAAAGGACAAAAATAAGATGAATTATCAATTTTCTTCTTCATGTATAGAGATAAATTATTTAAAAGATGAGAGAAAATATAAAATAGATATGAGTTCAAAGTCTGTATTTTTAAGGGTAAATATTTATTCGATCATACATCCATTTTTACGCTTCTATTTTGGTCTACTTAACATTATATTTATTTTATTTTGGTCACTTAAATATTTTTTTAAATCATACCTAACATTATATTTCATTTTATTTTGGTAATTCGTCATTAGGGTTGACCGTTGGTTTAATGAAAATTATAATGTAGCATGATATAGTAGCAGTTTTAATCCTCAAAATTTACACATTCTATCAAATTGATCATAATTTGAAATAATTCAAAAACCTTAATATTTGGAAGTTGATAGTGGCTTAAATATTAGATATTTCTTGAATCATTTCAAATTATGATTAATTTGGTAAATGTGTAAGTTTTAAGAAATAAAATTATTGTTATAACATATCACATCACTATTTGTACTATAACAACAGTTAAACCTAACGACATATGATCCTATTATAAATAAAATATAATGTTAAGTATGATTAATAAATAAATCAAAATAAAATTGTGACTGAGTGGTCAAATAAATAATTTATATACCAAATCATTATGTTAGAGATTAGGGTCATATTGTAGTTAGTGATTCATTTTCTAGCAAAATTAAAAAATTCAACATTTAATTTAATATATTGAAAAAATATATATTTAATTAATATAGCCAAAATGTAAAATGAAAATCCATGAGAATTATTGAGAATTTCGTGATAAAGGCAGCACGGCACAAAAAGAATAATGGACTGAGTGTATGTAAAGGGGAAAAAACATTTAATTGTAGCACGAAGGAAGCCCTGCAATATTTCATCATTAATGGTCGCATTCAGGGATGGGTATAGGTTATGTTTTCGGTTAATTCGATCCGACTTAAAATATATATAATTCATTTGAAATTTGACTCGACCTAAGTTTAGTGGTAATTTTACTTGACCCAAGCACGACCTTTAATTTTTAAGATAAAACTCAAATCTGACTTAATTTGACTCGAAATAAATATATTTATAAAATATTATTTTTATTTAATAAAAATAATAAATTAATTGAAAAAAATAATATATAGAGAGTTATTGTTGCAAATATCCTTAAATGTATAAGGAAAAGTTACATTATTTTTCGGGTCGGTTGGATATTTTTCACCCTAAACATAAATCTTACTCAACTCGAACATATTTTTTTAAAAAAATATGATCTGATCCAACCTGAACCTAACTTCTTTTTATTCTAACATGATTGGATCAGATCGGGTCGAAACCCGTCGAGTTCGGATCACGTGCCCATATCTAGTCGCATGGCCTCATTATTAGGGACCAACAACGGTTTTTTTCACATTTGGCCAAATGGAAGAAAAAAAGTTAGCCCTATACAACACAAACAAATTTATTTTGGGATCTACGTCATTTGCTACCGTCTTTATGGAACTCGTCATGTATATATTTTAATGGACCCGATCGTTAGGTCCAAAATTTTATTATTTTTCTTGGAACACGTCGTGTCAAAACCAACGGTCAGGATTTCACAAGGGGAAAAACGCATGCTTGTATTTTTCTTAAACAATCTACTTTTATTTTATTTTATTTATTAAAAAAATGGCTTGAATTAATTGTATAAATATAGGGAAAAAATAAAATCCAAACCATTAGTGGTTTGAATTTAGCAGCGTTGTTAAATGGATAACCAATTTCCAAATTTAAACTAATTTTCTTTTAAAATAATTTTTGCATCGAAAATTCTTTTAGTTGGAAACCAATCTTCCCTTGAGGCTGGGATTGTTGGGAAATCCTCCTTCCTTGTCTTCCCAAAACATTTGACTTTAAAGTTGGTTTCTTTTTGGGGACCTGAATGCTTATTTCTGGGTTTTAATTTTTGGATAAGGTTTAATACCAAAATAAGTGATCAAACTATATCTAAATTCTCGAATATGTGCTTAAACTATTTTTTTACCCATTCAGGTACCTAGCGTTATAAACGTTACCCATTTAGGTACCCGGGTCGTCAACGGTGTTAATTTCCCACACATGTCACAATATGGTGATTTTAAAATTTTATTTAAATTTTAAAAAATAAAATTATATATTTTTAAAGAAAAACATAAACTTTTTGAAATAACTCCAAAAACCCTTAAACCCAAGTCGGCTATCGCCCTTTTCCGCGACGAAACTCCACCAGACCTCATCTCCCCCTCGACCAAAACCCCCATGAGATTGTGACGATCTACGGTAAATCGATGTTTTACACCTCGTAAACCCTAGAATGAAAATCGTGATTCCACGCGATCTCAACAGCCAATCAACGGCAACTACGACGGCGTATGGTTAGGAGGATCGCAGGGACTACGTCGGTGGCGTGGTCGTTGAGGAAAAGGAGGGGCCGACAGGTTAAGCATAGGATTTGGGAAATTTATGTATTTTGGGGCATTTTTATAATTTAAGAGAAATTAGGGTTTTTTATAGATATAATATTTAAAAAATAAATTTCAAAATACTAGATTATGGCATGTCACTTAACGTGGAAAATTAATATCGATGACGGGCCGGATACCTAAATGAATAACGTTTGTAATGTTAGACACCTAGATGAGTCAAAAAATAGTTTAGGCACCTATTTGACAATTTAAGTATAGTTTGGGCACCTATTTTTCGTATTATGCCTTTGGATAATGATGGGAAAATGATTACTTTTTGATTTGGTTGATGCAGAAGAAGTTAAAGAAATAGAAGAAAAAAAATCCGGAAATTGTATCAAATAAACAACCATCACCAAGAGGTGTGTTGGAGAATTCTGAACTGGAATCAGACTCCGACAGTAGCTCCACCACCACCATCAGCGACGGCGGTGAAAATGATAGCCCAGATACTCAAAAACCCGTTTTCAGAAATTGGCAGATTCTTATAGTAGTTTTCAATGGGGAAGAATATTTGAATCAATTAAGTGGAAATCAGCCAACAGTTTCTCTGTGATTCCTTTACTGACAAAATCTACAAAACGTTACGAGGAAGAAGAAGAAGAACTGCTTGAACGCACACGTGAGAAACCTTCATGGAGGAGCTTTTCTTACTCGGAGCTTGTTGACGCTACTGATAATTTCAATCCTGGTATCAAATTATATCCATTTTTTAAGATTTCGAGCTCGTTTTTAACTAGATTAACGAGCTTTGAGTATGCATGTTACATTTTTTGTAGAAAATTTGCTCGGAATTGCGGGCCATGCAGAAGTATACAAAGGGCACTTACCCGATGGTCGAATCGTTGCGGTGAAGAAGATAGTAAGTATTGATAAAGAAGAAGATGATCAAGCCCGTGATTTCTTGACAGAACTTGGGATTATTTCTCACATCAATCACCCGAATGCGGCTCACTTGATCGGATTCGGCATCGACAGAGGCTTACATTTAGTCCTCGAGTTTTCCCCTTATGGCTACCTCACTGCCATGCTTTTTGGTACTAATATCAATTTCCCCTGTTGCTTCAATTGGTCTCATTTAGTTTCAGTAAACATACTTTCATGATTTCATCTCCTATGTTAATCGGATTCGGGTATGATCGGAAACCGTTGCTCGCTGCAGGTAGTGTGTGTTTAGATTGGAAAACGAGGTTCAAGGTTGCTGTTGGTATAGCAGAGGGATTGAAATACCTCCATCACGACTGCCGTAGGCGGATTATACACCGAGATATCACGGCTTCGAACATATTGCTCACCGAAGATTACAAAGCTCAGGTACTTCGATTCCGTGCACCGTTATCGATTTCATCGATTGTGAGCAAGTTTCTGACTTCTTATAGCATTGCAGATTTCGGATTTCGGTCTTGCGAAATGGCTTCCGGAACAATGGCATAACCATGTTGTTCATCACATTGAAGGAACATTCGGGTTAGAACTGCCAGTTTTTCTCCTCCGGTTCATTTGTTATTAGCATTGATTCATTTTATATGGGCTAAAACAAAGTTGCCTGCAGTTATTTAGCTCCGGAGTACTTTATGCACGGGATTGTCGATGAGAAGACCGATGTTTTTGCCTTCGGAGTTCTATTGCTGGAGATAGTAACAGGTCGCCGTACAGTCGATTCGTCCCAAAAAAGCCTTGGGATATGGGTAACAAAACTCCCGAACCATTCATTTAATATACTTCAGAAACATATGATTTATGAACTTATAATGTTCTGCAATTTTTTCACAGGCAAAACCATATCTGGAATCGAATCAAGTGAAGGAATTGATCTATCCTTGACTCGAAGACAATTTCGATCCTAATGAAATGCAACGAGCAATGGTAGCAGCTTCAATGTGCATCAGCCGCTTAGCCAACATGCGTCAAACCATGACCAAGGTATGAAAATCAACAAATCTTCATAGGGGGGAAATTCCATTTTTCCTGGAAAATTCAAATCGGAAACCGCGGATTCTTCGGTGATTTTGCAGGTTGTACAGTTGCTTAAGAACGAAGACGAAGACGGTCCTGTAGAGCTTCACCGAATACCTTGTGGAAGGAAAGCAGTGATCGTAGACGGCTCACTTGAAAGATTACAACTGCAACAACTATATAAATGACTTGAATCGTCACATGCGGCTGGTTTTGGAATAATTACTATCTATGTAATTTTCGACTGTTAGTGTCGGACAGACGAACATGTACGTCCGACACTAATTTTAGATGCGAAAATTCAAAGGAAAAGAAATGAAATTCCTTGACGTTTGTTGATAAATTCCTTGACGTGAGTTTTTTTCTTCAGGTTTTCAGCTTCCTATTATTTAATTGGATTGTAAATAAATTATATTTAGGGTCTGTTTCGACACCACAATCTTATTGTATAAAAAAATATAATTACTAATTCTTTGTAGTTATTTATGTAATGTTTGTACAAATTGTAATTATATATATTTAAATTATAGAACAATCTTAATTGTTATGAAAAGCTAATCACAAATCTTAAAATCATTCTCTTAACATTTAAAAATTAAAGTATTTAAAAATGATAAAAAAATATTAAAGTAATTAAAACTTTTGTTGACTGACACTTATTTCTGTTTACATTGCAAACGCTGAGGCTAGACAACAAACTAAAAGCTGATTTGGAGGTGCGGGGAATCGAACCCCGTGCCTCTCGCATGCGAAGCGAGCGCTCTACCATATGAGCTACACCCCCTGTTGAAATTGTAACTATTAATATTTATAATATTTATAAAATCTATAAATATAGATATAATTCTTAATTCATTAGAGTAGCTATCATCATTCTCTTTCGAGTGAAGTAGAAAGTTAATTTTCTAGTTATCGTATGATGATCCCCAATTAGCAAATCTGTTTTCACATCAACTTCCGATTCTGAACAGTTGGAGATTTTATTGATCCAGGGCGGGGCTGATCGAAGTTGCAATCAACATATATCAGCTATAGTAACGACATCCGGCAAATCTCGGATTCGAGTTCGACTTGGGATACCCCTTCACCTATCTCAAGTTGTGGCCTCTGTATTTGGATTTTTTCGTATTCCTTATCGATCTTTCGACTACCAAGCAATCGAGACGAAAACAAACGAATGACAAACTGGTTATCGAACAAACTACCTTCCAAACCTTTCAAATGGAAAATCAGTTACAAAGATGTTATTACTAATTCTACTATTACGACTTTCATGTTGCAAAAGAATCATCATGTATTTCTTCTAGCCCACTCACTGACCCGAACCATCGTCGAGATCACTTATGCGCGATATCGAGAAACTTACTTCTAGTCCCCGACCAGGATGGAACTTCTAGTTGAGTCACGAGCTGCCTTGTGCCAAATATTACGTACGCAAACATCTCGAACAACAACAAAGGGAGGCAAATTTTCCAGGCAGGGAGTAATCTGATTGCAATAATGGATCGGTCACAACATCTTCAGGACGTGACCAAATGTACACCCCACGTTCTTGCCGGCTGCCCGGGACAGTGTTGTCGAGTATAAATGCTACCAAGAATGTAACCACCATGCTCATGGACATTAGTGCATTTACAGCGAAATCAAGCTGACACATTCATAAAACAAGTGTGAAATAGGGGATAAGCGTGTATACATCTTTGTATCACCTAGATTCGGGGAAAAAATATACACATCGCGAACTTACTTGTTCACTAGTGGTGTGGACTGGTCCATCGGATGCAGCTGAATATGGAACGAAATAACTTGGCAGCATCAAACTCGACATGGGTTGGTACTGTTGGAAATAAGCAGGAATGGACAAACCGAGTAACAAAGACACCCCGACTATCGTCATGTTCCTAAAACTTGCTGTTTGAGTGTATTGCAAGGTTGAGAGGCCGACGGCCACAACAAGGGCCCACATGAAGCACAAAATCGCAGCAGCCAAGGACAGTGGTATCGAAGCAAGAATTGCACCGACTTTTCCTGTTATACACAAGTCAAGTAGTCAACATAATATTGACCTCATACATGTACGAATACGATAAACTAGATAAATTATCGAGCAGACATATTGAATACATAGGCAACCCCATGGATACCATATACAAAATTCCATACAGGTATCGAGCAGTAAGATCAGAATGGGGGAAATATGATTTAGTACACCCGAAATCATATTCATATCCCTGGAAGAACGTTCTATCATCTATCTACCGTGCACCAAGAAGCTTTTTCCAGCCAAAATTGATTTCCGACTTTACCTACAAATGAGAAGAGGATCAAGAAAAGTGCTCCGAATACCACAGCTCTTCGGCTGGCCATCTTTGTTATATTTATTGTATGAGTATTTTCTGTCAAAGTTGTTGAGCCGGTACCCGAACCCCAAATTCCAGCCAGCAGGCTACAGAAACCTTCCAATGCAATGCCTCTGCTCACTACTCCAGGAGTTGGAGGCTTCAAACTGACTAGTAAAGAAGCAGAGTGATATGTTCCGACCTGCATGTTCACTCACAAGCATCAATGTTGGGGCCATTACAATTATCTTCCTGTTCAGTAACAGATATTAAGAGTTAACACACATTCAACTTCGAAAAACCAGTTTTGCTGCTTCGTTTCCTTGTTGTTGCTTTTTCTACACGTGACTATTTAGCATTTCATAAATAGAACCATGTTCGAAAATACTAGAGGGTAATTTTTTTTTCCAAAATCAAATATTTCCATCACAGCGTCCATTTGATACCGATATTTTGGAGCATTATAGACTACTGACCGAATCCACTGATGCAACAAGTGACACAATGATCATAATCAAAGACGTCCGGACATGGAAGATAGGGACACCCCACTGTAAAGGGTACGGAATTCTAAGCCAAGCAGCAGCTCTCCATGCATTCGAAACATCAGCTCTGCAATGCTTCATGGTATATGCATGTTTTTTACACTCGTCAAGTAAAATGTTTGAACTCGGAATGTCAGGGCTGCAATCTTTGTAATCATAAGCTCCTCCCGCTGTCAGAAGAAATGCATATATCCATGTAAGCATAACACTCAGAGGAACCTGCAGTGATCGAACAATGACACGGTGATCGATTAACAATATCTCTACCAAAAACAAAGAAACTACCATTTACCTGGACAAACCAAAATATATAATTCAGTAAAGGAGAGAGGTATACTTTTTAAAAACAAAATTGAAATAAAGTTTTAGAAAGAATAAACAAGATGGAAAGGTGAGAGTACGTACTGCATATATTCTGAAAAATCGATGCCCAAAAATGGATACTCCTCGAAGATACTAGAAAAAAAGTATGCATCCTTAAGAGGGGTAATAAAAATCAAACTATCAACTCTATTTATGTGCTCGGTAGCTACATAGTATTCAACTTTGCTAAATAAATTACTCACAAGGGTGCATGTAAGAACCAACAATATCAATGGAACACTGACTTCTACACAACTACCAGCTTGTGGAAAACCGTAGCTGAAGAATGCTAAACCGACAGCGGCAACAGTTGGGGCAACCACAACTGGGTTAATCAATCTACAAAACAAAAACAGTGTCAAATCCATAGACGATTCCAAGTCCTATTAATATACTAGATGGTGTACATATGCTTGTTTCTCATGATAATGATAGTTCATTTTCAAGTACCAAAATCTTGCCTGGTCGAATAAGATTGTAGAAACATTTGGAGATAAGAATATTATGAACCATTAAATTCCTTTTATTTTAGCACAAAATTGCACATTGAGCGTAAATGAAAATTTCAAGATAGAATTACCTCAGTAAAAGTGACATCAAACTACTGAATCCCAAGATACTTTGGAATACTGAACCGACAATTATAGCTCCTTGCAACTCTCTCATTATGTGCCTGAATTTCTACAGTATTTAAAAAAAAAGTATTATTGAAAACTAGAATAAGATGCTATTGCATGAACACTAGATTAAGTTTGTATGTCATGAGCTAAAGATGATCTCAATTCGTCTCACCAAATTAGAATTGGAAGCAAATTTTTGATGAAAATAAGGAGACCATATTTAATAAATTGATCAAACTTTGGAGCATCAAAGCCATTTACAGCCAAGATAAAACTTTATAAATAAAAATGAAGGGGGACTAACTGAAGATACAACACTCATTTTCTTTTGCATAACTTACATGTTCAGAGAGGTTTCTATAATCTCGAGCATTGATGATAACTAGTGCTGGTGCCAGATAGATGAACGAACTACCTTGAACTAATGGAAGCCGGGTACCAAAGTAGGAGTGCAGAATTGTACTAATGCCAGAAATTAGCAGCATTGTAGAAATCACAGTGGCAGTATCTTTCTGCATCGCATATCAGAAATATCATGGAATTTCATATTCCAAATCTCTTAAGATGTCAAGTAATCAATACTTCTATGGGTAAAGAAGCTTACATCTGTTCCGCCCATGGCTGGTACCATAACCGATGGAATAAATATAAGTGAGCCCGCCAATGATAAAAAGTGCTGCAGGCCGTAATATATTAGTGCTCCTGTAAAAATTGATAATCAGATGAGAATCAGTAGGATTCAGTGGCAACTACAACATTCAATTACACTGTAACCATGGAAAACAATTCATGAACCATGATATTCGTTTTTAAGTATTTGGTAACTACTTAAAAATTAACGATTTATGTCCTTCCCTTTGGTTAAAGCCTCAAATACATCCCCATAATAAAAATAAGAACCATGTTCGAATTGGAAATTTCATATAAATGTTCGACAATATCCAAAGCTGAACATGCATCGATAAGTCACCTTTCATGCTTTTCAAATGATAAGCATAAACTAAACAAAAAAACTATCGAAGTTAGAACATGAAGCCTAGAAAAATCCGAACTCTCCATCTGTATCGAGAAATTTCCTACAAGTAGAAAAACTTGAACAATTTTGTTTCTTTAAATACACACAAAGCCAAGCAACAAGAGACATAATCACCATATCAGCTTCAGCTTCTAGATATTGGAAAACTCAAATTCTGTGATTTCATTAACTAACATTGCATCTACATGGAAAGAAATCTAAAGTAAATAACAGTTTAACTCGACACTAGCTAAGAAAACAGAGTTCAACGCATCATCAACAATGAACATAAACAAAAAATAAAACAAAAGCAAGCACAAACAAAACAAAAGGTGAAGTAAAGGAAACTAACCAAAACCCGGATTATCTCTCAACCCGACCTTCAACCCGGGATGATTACCATTCCAGCCTTCATGGCCCTGCTCTTCAGCTCCTGGAAACATCCCAGTTTCCACATCCCTTTCACCCTTTTCTCCCTCATTCTTCTCTTCAACTACTGGTGTAACACTTGCAACTCCATTCCCATTTCCATTTAACCCAGGTTTCCTTTCCTCAACTTTCTCTCCCAAACCATTATTCCCATTCTCATCTGCAACTGCCCTCCTTCCTTGCCTGGATCCCGATCCGAACCCAGGATCCATTTCGATTTCAGTTCCTATATTGAGTCTACTCCGGCCCAATACCGTGTCAGTCTCGGTTTTTGGAGATGACCTACCTGCTCTATGATCACGGCCACTCCTTTCAACATTAGACACAGTGGAACTGTCGAATCTTTCAGTGGAACTAGCGGTGCCGGTTTCTCCAGATAAGTGAGACACAAAGCCGGTTCTTTTAGCCCAAGATCTCAACTCCCTTGGGTTATGGTTTTGATCTCTTTTAGGCACAAAAGGTTCAATCTTTGGCAACATTGAACCGAGCTTGCCTCCTCTTCCATTTGAAGTCTCCGACTTTTCTAGTGAATCTGCGTTGGACTTTTTTCCCATTTCAGCTTCTTCTCAAATGGGTACCAATTGTTTTCCTGGGAAGCGAATGACTAATAAAAAAACAACTAAAAAAACTACTTAAAACCAACAACCCAGAGGAAATGTACGAACTAAGTAAAGGTAGATCGGTGAAGGAAAAGGTGAGAAATTTCAGAAGAAATTATACGGTTTGATTTGTTTTATATTGAGTAAATTGGTTTGAAGAGTGAGAGAATTCATCTTCTTTTTCGTTTTCTTTCTTCCTCATGGCCATAGAGGCCAGTCGCTATCATTAGAAGTGCGTTGGAAATTACCAAGCTGCCACTGTAACGGCAAAATGAGAATCAAGCCCCTTGAAATTGAATACACTCCTGTCTGTGTTTGTCCTCTTATGTCTATTTCTTTCTCTTTCAATTAATATCCAGAATAAATGGACTTTTCAGACATGAAATCCAACCAAAATAAATAAAAATATGTGAATTTCTTAGTTTCTAATAAAAATAAAAACTTGGATTAGTTTTCACTCATTATCTAATAAGCGAGAATCTACTTTAAAATTACATCATCAATCAATGTATATCTCAAAACATAATAAATGTCGAAACGATTTTTTTTAAAAAATGTGAAAGAAATGTGAGATTTTGAAAATCACATTAATTCTTAATTATCTCTTTTATTTTAAAATATATACGATTTAAAAGACCTCTCGTTTCGAAAATTTTTGAATTTATTTTACGATCGAAAAATACGGTTCGAAGAGTCGCCACCAATCTTTGATTAGGGTGTAATTGGGCACCCAAAAATACTGTCATTTTAAATAAAAATTAATTTTAATTAAAACAACAAATTGAGGTATGCGTTACCAAAATCCGAGTTCGGGAGTCGGTTACGTGTGGGGAAGGATTAACACCCCCATAACGCCCTAAATCGGTACCTAGTCGATTAATTAACGTCTTTGCAATGAACTTTACAAATTCGAATTTATTTTTATTTTTGATCCCATAAAATAAAAATGTAAATTTAAAACATTCAAAAACACTCAAACAAATTAAATTAAAATTACCAAGTCGTTTTAGAAAGATAAAGAATGTTTGATTATTTACAAATATCGAGACCAGATCTTAAAGATATAACAACCTTTTCTCGATATATTTAAATAAACGAACATTTCTTTTTCTCTCGTTCTCAAATTTTAGGTGACGAATCAATTTTTTTGTTTCACTTTCGGGATACACTTTTATTTTAAAATCATTAAAAGTGGACCTCAAATCAGTTATGACTGCCCACTTAAAACAATTTTAAATTAAAAATATATTACCCTTAATCCAATTATGAATATGTCAAGTTATGCAAGTGAGGCTATCATGCATATTATGCAAAATAATGTCATGTAAAAACTAATTAAATAATATCCTATATTCAAATGAACACCTAAGTCTAAAATAAAGTATGGTGATATGGTATATACATGCATACAACGACATTGGCATGCATTAGCATAAAACAATATATACAATAAAACATACTATTAGTAACTCGATTTCATATTCAAAATTACCATGAATGACCAGAATAAAATAAAATTAAACTAAGCATGCAAAGTATGAATTAACCATTAAATTAAAAAAAAACATGCTAAGTGACTAAATTGTCAAACAACCAAAATTACAAATTACATTTCAAAAATAAAACATAAAAACATTTCAGGACTAACATGAAAAGTGTTTATAAATATGAAGACCAAATTAAGAAGGCGCAAAAGATTCGTTCAAGGACCAAAATAAAAGTTTCGTAAATTACACAACCAATGTAAAAACAGTGCAAAAATGGCCCTAACATGATTCTGGGCTAAGATATAAAATGCTTAAAATTAAGATACGAAATCAAAAACCCAATAAAATTCAATTTAAGGACCATAAAGAAGCAGGCCGAAAACCGAATGACCTATCACGCAATTAACCCACTATCCTAGAACACAGAAGGTTCCAGCCTGATGAAACACCGCCGTTTTGGACCTGGCTAAACGACGCCGTTTGGACGTTCTGATATATGGGATTTTAGGGTAACACTTCTAAGCCTAAATCATTCTCATCCTCTCCTAACATTCCCCAACGCCATTCTCTCTACCCATTTCCCCTCTACCTTCTTCTTCTACTTCTCTCCCTCAACACGACCGTGGCCCTTAACTCTTAATCTCGACCACTATAAACGGTGGTCCAATGACCTAAACCAATGATCCCGAACCCCTCACAGCTCTTGCCTCACCTTGCTAACCTCCAATCTAAAGTCTAAAATGCAAAAAACAAACTCTTTACAGACACAAATTGGCATTTCGACTTCACTCTCTCTTCAACGCCGTTCTCACCAACCCTCTTCATCTTTCGACCTCTAAGGCTTTCTACGCACCAGACGAACGCTGCTCAACCAACGGGTAAGGTAATAACAATAACTCATCTTCTCTATCTCTGCTTTGGTTTCAAAAAAATGTGAAGAAAAGTTGTCTATGGTCCGAAAGAAAATAAAAAAACTTTAGAAACTTTTGATGCTTGCACTACTTCACATGGATTTTGTTTTTTAAAAGAATATTGTTTAACTTCCTCTAATTGTAACACAACACAAATGCACACGAAAAGAGATATATATATATATAGAGAGAGAAAAACCGAAAAAGAATACCTCGAAATTCCTCGTATTTCTTTTGCTTTCTCTTGTTTCGAATTATGAAGTTACACTATCGTTTCTCTTTGTATTCTTTTATAGTGTAAAATTGTTAATGACTAGTAGGGTTCTCAGCTGATAGTCCCTGATTATTGCTTCCCTCGTTTCTAGTTGCCTTCTTCCTTTATTTCTGTGTTTTTTGTTCGTTTTCTTTTCAATGGTTATCTGATTCTTTTTTTCTCTCTGTATTTGGTCGTTTTTTGTGTTGATTGTGTTGCTCTCCCTTTTGTTTCTGGACCCCCTTTCTTTGTTCTCGTGTCCCCTCTTTTAGCAATGATAATGGTCAATAAACCCCCACTTACAAAACAGTTTACTAATACAGTTTTCCTAATTAATTAAAAAACTGACCCGATAATTGCTTTTAGTCTTCTAGGGAGTATTCACGTGGACTTGAGTTGGGCCTTCAATTGCTCAGCTTTGGGTATGCTCCGATCTGTCCCCGGACAAAACCGAGCATCTACAGCTGCCCCTCTTTGCTCATTGTCGTGTAACGAGAATAGGGCAAAGATCAAAAGATGATCGAATTTGTCTGGTCATGAGAACTTCAAAAAATTAAACCACTCACTGTTACGTCGGGATAAATGAGACTTGAAAAATCTTCAAATGACGAGCCTGCTCCCTATTCCTTCAGGAAGTATAAGACTCGAACAATCTTCATAAAATGTGTATGCTCTCTATTCATTCAGAGAGTATAAGACTCAAATAATCTTCAACAAACGGGTCTGCTCCCTATTCCTTCAAAGAGTATAAGACTCGATCTTCAATAAACGTGTCTGCTCTCTATTCATTCAGAGAGTATAAGACTTGAACAATCTTCCATAAAACGGGTCTGCTCTCTATTTCTTCAGAGAGTATAGAACTCGAAAAATCTTCAATAAACAGGTACGCTCCTTATTCTTTCAGAGAGTATAGGACTCAATCTTTAACAAACGTGTCCGCTCCTTATTCCTTCAGAGAGTATAGGACTCGATCTTCATAAAATGAGTTTGCTTCACTAATCTTCCGTGAAGGCTTACAGATGGTTTGCTTCACTACTCTTTCATGAAGGCTTAAGATTGACTTATTCCGAAGGTCCAACCTGAAAATCAAACATTACCAATCATTAATGTATGTTTGAAAATATTATATTCAAAAATTTAGAATTTGATAAAATTTCTAAAAATCCATCTCCATCGCGAAAACTTGTCTGGAAACTATTGGATATGTGAATCTGCTTTGGCTCAGTTTTCGTATAAACATCATTCTTTTCAAAATCTCCAAACCAGTTATGTTCATCTCGATGCTTCAATATCTTCAACTATCCCTGGAAAACCTGTAACTGCTTAAGTCATCATGCAATTATGAATGTTATGATCCTAATCATGCCTAAAATGTATACAATTATGCAATTCAGTGTGTTTTCTTCTTCGAAGGAACTCTATCTCCTTTTGATCTCGATAAAACTCGGTTTCATCTTGGGTACAGAACATTTGACCAATTCACCCCAGTTAACAATCTCAATTCCGTATCTCTCGGCTTAACAGAACCTTGACTCTTTCCTTTCTTGAAACCCGCCAGTACCCATGACCAACTTCTTGACCGATGACAATCTCTTTGGGTCTTCTTATCATGGTTGAGATTTTCTAAGAATTCCAAGGTTTTAGCTTCCCATAGCCACACAAGCTTATATGTTTAAACCATTGTCAACTTCAAAATACATGTATTTTCCAAAACCTTTTGCACAATAGTATAAAATGATCTCATGTACTTCAAGTTAAGCTATATGTTTTAACTTTTCAAAATAAGATGCTTACAAAAGGGAAACGAACAAGGAAAGACATCTCTTTATTTATATAAATACAGAGAATTTTAGGCAATTAAATGGCAAACTTTTAACTGGAAACAGTAAAAGAACAAAAGAGTAGGCGTCTTCAAATATCAATAATGCAAATGCTTTTGAACCGGCACGTCGTTAGAATGTCTCGAGTGTAGCTTCTGTCAAAAAGATCTCCAAAATTATGATGCTTAAGAGTATGAAGCTACTTCTAAACTCCCAAATCTCTATCATTGGATGCCCTAAACCAGTATTGAATCTCATGTGCATTCAATTTCTCTTGGTTATTTCAATCGAGACACATTAATCTTTAGTCTCGTCCCTGATCACCAACTGTCATTGTTACTATCCATATTAGAAGCTCTTTCCACTTCCAAAATTGATTCAGAACCTCCACCATGCACGAATTCTGAATTTCAAACTCAACTCAAGTCGCCCTTTGCGGGTTTTCAACTTGAGACCTCCTTTGGTTTCAAGACGCCCTTTTTCGGATTTTCATCTTGAACCCTTCCTTTATTTCTTTTTCTTTTTCTTTTTTCTTCTTTTTTCATTTTTCATTTTTCATTTTTTA